ACTGTAATGTTTTACTCAGTTGGAGTTGTTTTTCACGACAAGTTGGAGTTGTCAAGTTGGACTTGTTTTGACTTTTAAGATGCTTGTCTAGCCAATCTTTAGCCAATTTTGAAGTTGAAATTGATCAGGAAAATCCGAAAAGATAACGGTTCCTTGATTTTGGTGAAAAACATTACCATAACTGCTGCATAGCTTTCAAAATAAAAGTCCGCAGCAAATTTGAACAGCGGATTCGGAATCAGCGAAAAATTCTGCAAGATGCGCGGTCCCGAATCAACCCAACGAGTAAAAACACGTTAGAGTTAGACTTAGATTTGAAACTTACAATAAGATACTTATCACCAGCTGCCATAAACATCTGACACGCCTGATCGGGCTGCTCCCCGCTCGTCCCCACCCAGTTGTAGATGATCTGAAATTCGTATGATTAAACTTTGATAAATTTTCCAGTTTTCAAAATCATTGAATTTTTGAAGAGCTCACCGGCAGGTCAGCAATGTCATTTTTATCCACCCGAAATACGAAGCTCTCGCCGGTGCCAAAATACCTGAAAAAGGGAGATCATTTTCCAATAGGTAAAGCACGTTACGATATGACGTGATATGGTACAGTACGATGCGCTACGGCTGCTTATTATACGATACAATGCGCTATTCTAGGCTACGGTTGCGATACGCGACGATACGATACGGTTACGACGCCGGTGCAATGTGCTACTGTACGTTAAAGTACGATATGATACGGTAAGCTACGATACGCTACACATTACTTACTTCGTCCTCATCCGCTCGTGTCTATCATTCCGCTCGGACCATGAGGCGCTACAGTAGGCTCCGAACACTTCTCCCATGACTGATCGGATGATGATGATCGACTGGTCGGCCTCGTCCACCCTAAAAATTAACGTAAAATCCATTAATATCTCAAATCTAGATTTCTAAGCGCTTTTGGGTATCAAAAACCTACTTATTCCACAGCTGCGTAAATGACGCTCCGTCTTTGCTGAGCCTGAATAGGAGCTGCGGGGTGCTGAGCTGGAGACGGGGTGGTAGGGATTGCATGATGAATGAGGCTTGCTCGGCATCAACTGAAAACATGAATTTGATTTAATGATATTATACTATCTACACTAAATTTAAGGTATCGACTTACCGATTACACTCTGAAAAACGTCGGTGAAGAGACGGGCTTTCGGTCGCCGGCTGAGGGATTTGCTGGCTCTCTCCTCGACCTCATTGGCAACCTGAAATGTCAATAACCGGTTCTCAATTTTCGAGTTGAGTTTGTTGGATTATAATATAAACATTTAACTGAATTTAATTTTCCTTAGATTCCTTAAAACTGACCACTTTCTCATAGTGCTCCTGGTATCGCTGAATCGTGGCGCTTTTCAGGTTTCGGATCCGGATGCAGGTTTCGATGAAGGTGTCGGGGGAAATCTGAAATTAAGGTATAAAATTTGAGTATTAACAGATGGCATAAAAGTTGCGAAAAATTGCTTATTAACTCCTTAAAAAAAGGGTATAAATTTTCTACCTGGCACTGCCTGGCGGTAGCAAGCAAGTCTTCTTTGACGGCTTGAATGCGTTCTTGTTGGCCCATTCCGGAGTAGCGATCATCGTTGACGTCCTAAATATTAAATTAGTTTTAATTTTACATGTTGTATTTAATTTTCAAACGTTCATCAATGAAATGCCGGGGTCTACGCTTATTACTAGCTATGATTAATTGTCCATCAAAAAAAAAAACTATATAGGAATTTTATAGCAAAAAGTACGATTTTTTGTTCACCTTCTGCATCTTCGACCAAATGTAGACAATAGCAATAGCCGCTCGCATTAGGAATTTCTGGCCCTCGACGAGGAAACAGTCCAACACGCGCACGACGTACGGGAGTGGAAGGCCGCGGAAAATCCATTGCAAGTAGTCACGCATCTGAAAAAAAAAAGATTATAAGCCGTAAGTTCCTAGACGGTTCCCTCGCTCCCTCTCGCTCTCTCTATCTCTCTATCTCTCTCTCATCGCTCTCTCTGCTCTACGTACCGTCTCGACCATCACCGCATCGTCGGAAGTATTGCACCGCTTTTTCAGCAAGGAATAAGTTGATGTTTTGTGTTTCTTGATCAGCGCCAAAAGCGTATGAGCCGTGGCGTACCACTCCTTCGTCGACTTGATGAGGAACCCCTGGAAATCGAAGTCTTATTTTTGTTTCCCAGATTTTGGCCCGAACCAAACTTTACAATTATCGCAAACCGAGGGGTGCTGTTAATTATGGAGATTGTGGCATAAACGATAGAGAAACATGCAGGGAGCACGAACACAACAAACAAAAAAAGTCTAACATGCAAATTTGGGTTGCGAATCCCTTTGGAATTTACGAAAGTTGCTAAGTCTTTGAAACCGTGCTTTCACGGTGGTTCGGGTAACTAGCAGACCCTTTCACAAACCTAGCTAGCTAGAAGGCTAGGCTAGACCAAACAAGAAACCTAGCTAGCAAAAAAGTGGCAAGGTTTATTTCGGAAAAAGTTCGTCAATTTAAAGGGACGTTGAAGGAAAAACACGGTACGAATAAGACGACAACAGCATACAATTTTGCTGACAAGGGAAGTGCACGGCCGGCCCACGAGAAATCGACACGAAACATAGTGGATCTGATAGAATCGGACACGGGGATTCCGAATCTGTAATCAAAATTTGCTAAATAAAACGGAGAAAAAAGTTATGAAGCTTCAAAGTTGGTAAAATCGCCCAAAATCGGACTTTTATGGGCCTGTAAAGGTCCAGGGAATGGAAATTTGCCATAACCCATTAGTGCATCTTGTTCAGCATAAAAAGCGCTTTCGAATGAGCTATCTTACTTCAAGTTTACGATGATTTCGCGGAAATCTCTTCTATGAAATTGACAGGCCATACCCTTGCCCGTGAATCCAAAAAAACTTTTTTCAGTGAATTGTTTGCAAATGCTACGTATTACAGCTCACTCGAAAGCGCTTTTTCTGCTGAACAAGATGCACTAATTCTTTTCTCCTCAATTCCGTTCCCTCGGTTTTTACGGGCCCTTAAAGGTACCGTTTTTGGCGATTTGGCCAACTTTGAAGCTTCATAACTTTTTTCTCCGTTTTATTTAGCAAATTCTGATGACAGATTCGGAATCCCCGTGGCCGATTCTATCAGATCCACTACAGGGTGTCCCAAAATTATCCGGACAAAGTTGCAAAGGGTTTTTTTTCTATTTTTCCCTGTTTTTGCAGACCATAATTTAATTTCTATGAATCGTTGAAGTGTATTTAATAAGCTTAAAAAGAAAACTGCGCGTGAATCCGTTATATCTCTTCGAAATAAAATGAAGAAGTTCCAACCAAATTTATCTCTCCTTGCAAACGCTGAAAACGCGCATGCTTTCCGATCCCATATAAAACGTCAGCATGACCGGACGAACGTAGAAACCACAGGAAGTGTTCGGAAATGACCAGTCAACACTTTATCCGGCCCAAAAACGCTAGGCTTACACCAGAAAAAAAACAGCCAGCAAAAAGGTTGAAATCGAGGTACGCGCCGCCCCGGTTGCCTTAGAGGTTTTGCTCTGGAGGAACCCTAAAAACGCGATATGATTATTGTCAAGGACTAGAGGCATAAACTTTTGGCGGTAACGATGATGCACAAGCAATTTAAATTAAGCTAACTTTGATTTTTGAGGAGCTTGAGCACGAGCAAGCATCGAGATACCTTGCCCAGTAATGGGATGGAAATCGGTATTAAACGGAAAAATGACCATTAACATGTCGGAATCTTGGCGGAGTTAGGTCCGTTTTGCCAGAAAACGTCATTTCTTGTCCACAAAAACGCCTGAACTCATTTTGAAAGTTTACCGCAATTTTTATGTTATTTAAGAGGCGAAAAATTTTAACATGCTCTTCGCTCGATTGTGAAGCTATTTTGCGTTCTACCAGAATTTTTTTTGCATGGTGCATCGAAAATGCCTCAAAAAATATTATGAAATACAAGGCGGAGGCCGAAAACAGCGGAAAAATTGAAAAAGTCAGTTTTCAGTTTTGTCCGGATAATTTTGGGACACCCGGTATGTCTCGTGTCGATTTCTCGTGGGCCGGTCGTGCACTTCCCTTGTGAGGCAAACTAGCAGAGAACCAACCGGAAATCACGATTTCTATAAAAATTTGAAAAAATTAGATTTAGCCGTCCCTCCCCTTAAAGCGCTACTGAAGTCAGGATTTCTTATAGATTTTGGCCATTTCCGCCCTCACCGATGGTGCATGCATTCTGTTAAATATTTTCCAGTCTATCTCGCATGCATCGTGCTTACCAGGGGCGCGTTGTGCGTTTCCCACTTTTCGCGCTCGTCCATATAGCCGTTCTGGGCGCCTTTGGCCCCGTCAAATCGCCGCTTAAATTCACGACAAATGTACAAACTACACGACCACAATCACGAAAAGCATTTAAATTCTGAATACCACAAATTCGATTTTTTGCGATTTTTACAACGCCAACACCATCACGAGAGTGTGCACGACAAAACGCACGATTTTTGGAGTGATTGAATATTTTTTTTACTTTTAATAAAATATTTTAATTTTTGCAGCTCTTACCTTTCTCAGCAAAAACTCGGTGCACGCGTACGCCTCGCCGTCGGACATGTAGTGCAGCAACAGCGCGCAGAGGGGGTAGAGAAACTGAAAAATTGCCGATTTTTGCCGATTTTCAACGATTTTTGTTCATTTTTTGTTGACTCGCGTGCATCTGAATCATCATTGTTATTGTTATGTTCATTGCTATTCAATAAAATTCCGAAAGTTATCAAAAATCTTCTAAGCATCGTAAATTGCTGGTACTTGATTTTTTGCTCCAATTCTCCTGATTCTGCTGTAGTCCTCTTTACGATACCTACAGACACATCTGTTGACAGTATCATCTCGGACAACAATGAGCCAACAAGGTTCTATTTTTTCGCTGCTGTCCACACTATTTGGTGCTGATGAGGCCACTCGGTCAACAAATGGTTCTGCTAAGGCCAAAGAGAGCGAGAGAGAGAGATAGAAAACGAGAGAGACAGAGAGAGAGAGAGAAAACGAAAGAGACAGAGAGAGAAAGAGAGAAAACGAGAGAGACAGAGAGAGAACGTCAGAATGAACAAATTCCTTCGGCAAAGTCCAAACGACGAGGCGATCAAGTGGGGGTGGATGATACGGGTCCGGAAAGGAACGAAGTAGCTGATTCAGTGGTCAAGCAAAGGCCAAAAGTTTGGTACACTCGTCACTGAACCTTTAAAATAGAATTTTCTTGGTATCTGAATTCGTGTAAATTCGAAATTTGGCTAAAGATTATGGAAAAACGTGAAAAACAGTGGAAAATACAAACCCATCAAAGCAAACATTTTGGAGGTGTCACTTTCACTTTAAATTTAGAACATTAGCAAGCGGATGCAAAAGTTTTTATCTGTCTTCGTAACTTACGGGTGCTGAAGTCAAAGTGGGATGATCGTTCTCAATCATCGAGAGGAGCCGCAACAACCTCATCGTGCCATCTTCATTGAGATCAAAACTGTTGTGCACCGCTCCCTCGTCCTTCAGGAAAACCGGGTGGTGGACTTTGGCTGAAAGAACTAATTAAAATAATTTTTACGGGTTTCAAGGTATTTTACAGGATCTTCGTGTAGTTGGCTATACCTTAGCGCTTCTATAAATAATTAGTTTTACGTTGCAGCTTGGCTATCCACATATGCTGCCGGTTTGGCCCGATGGCTCCTTTAAAATGTTATAAACTGCCTCAGGTTATGAAACCGTATTCCGAGTTCCTCTAAGTGTTCCTTATAATACCTGGAAATTTCACTACCCCTTTAAATTCAAATTTGTAAATTTTTTAAAATTTTTAAAAGCCATTACAAAGTCCGGAGCCCAAAAATTCGAACTTTGCCCTGAATTTCGTTAGTATTTGCTCGATTCAATCGCCAATATTTACTATTTACCAGTAGCCACCGTGTTGGCATTTGCCCCAACCAATTAGCACATAAAAATCCGGCCATTTTTTAGCGAGCGGGGGCAATATTGAGGTGAAAGGGCAAGGGGGGTGGGTAAAGTTTGCGGTATACTGGCTTTTGGCCTGATATTGACATATTCTTGGGTGGCTGGGGCGGCTTTTCGAGGAGTCCCGCGGCTGTCACCAGCAAATATAGTACAGTGCCGGAATATACCTCTACTCACTAGCCAGCGAGTGCTCAGATTGTGATAGTACCCTTGGCTACTCTCCACAAATAGACGAGAAAAATGGCAACTAGCATGTTTGTCGCGTGGGCATTGTTGTCTAATGCTTGCATACGGTATGATGAAATTTTGGAATGCACTGGTTGCGTAATCGGATCGAATGGATTTTCAAAAAGGAAGCCTAGCCAAGGAAAACCTGCATTCAAAACAACCCAGCGGAACTGGAAAAAAGCTTTAAAAACTCAAATATTTGGGTGGCGTGATTGGTTTCTATGCTAATATGCTAATTGCCATTACCTCAAAGGCCCGATAAATGCAGCAATCCCTGTTTCGCCACTATTTTTTTGCTTTTGGCTATTTGCATCAAACAGCTGGGTGGTGTATGGATGGGTGTGACCCGGAACGGTCAGACCAGTCAGTCGCCACCCTTATCGCGGTACAATGGAGAAGCCTACTATTTGCTCAGGACCCTGGCGGTGTAATTGCCTTGTTTTGAGGGTCAAGGGGGAGGAATTACGGTGACCAAGATTCCGTGATCAGTATCGAAACGGAAATATTGAAATTGGAGCCACGGACTAAAAGCAAAAAAAATTAGTCATAAATACGGTAGTTGCCTAAATTATGGCCTATATTTTAAGATAAATCCTAATTAAAACGGGAAAAATAAATTAAAATTACCTTAAAAATTCAAAAAACCCAGAAAAATCAATCCAACAAGATCGAAGATGATAAAACGCTTAAAGATTTCATTAAAACCCACCATGTGGCGCTCCCGACGTCTCCTCCCTGAGCTTGTGCTCGTAAACCGTTCGCATACTGTCGTAATTCTTGTCCGTGCACAGGATGGTCCACAACTTTTGTCGAACTTCATGGCTCACCGGCCAGCCGCCTTTTCGTAGAAGTTTTTTCACCTTGAAATAAGTAATTAAAAGGGGTACCTTAATCCAAAAAGGCTCATTTTTACACATTGCTCGAATGTCGTTTTTCCAGGTATTAGTAATTGAGGAATACGCTATTACAATTCGATGCTTTTGTAAGATTTTACGCATGCTCAAATGCGAATTAACAATATATTTTTAATTTAGTGATACGTTATTACGATTCGATGTTTTCGAATTTTGCCGGTGCTTTAACGTCAATATTAAAAAGTACATTTAGGTAAAAGACATCCTTGCTAAATTACATTTTCGTAAGGGCTCCAATTTATTTTTAAAAATGACTTTTTTAGCTCTTGTTCTTTCAAAATCCCAATTATTTCCTAAATATCATTTTTCATAGGTATATTTCACTAATTCCCGACCGAAAGCGGCGCTCGCCAAATAGCGAAACAACAATTTTGATGCCCAGCTCCGGAGTCAGGCTCCTCTAATAACCGATTGTACACCATTAATGCGTGAATCTATAGGGTGCAAAACTATCCGAATACTCCAGAAATTCGAGAATGCACAACTCGGACCTTTTGAACTGGTGAAACGTTCCGCAAACACGTTAAAATTCAGGGTATTCAGCAGGGCGAATGCGGATGAGCAACGATTTTTCGTGAGTTTGGTGTCGTTTGGAATTTACGAGCAGTATAACTACAGCAGAAAAATGGTAAAAAATGGGTACTCAAAAAATCTTCGAATTTTTAAGAATTTGGCTTGCTTTTAATATTCTTTCCTATTAAGGTTAATGTAACTTAAACAAGTGGTTTAAAATCCAAATTCCCAGCTTTTGTTTAAATTACTGTATTACGAGCATAAAACCCTGGATTCGAATAACTTCAAACTTTACAAAATAGGCCACCGATCCAAAAGGTAGCAAATTATAAGGATTTTTAATTTAAATACACGTGACAATTTAATAGATATTGTGTCAAATTAATTAAATGAAAAATTGTCGGTACTGTACAATAAATTTCTAATGGGTACGTTATCTGATTACTTAGCACTAATGCATCTCAAACACCTCAAAAAAATGGCCTATTTTGCATAATAAAATAAAGCTCGGATTTCCCCGATTTCCTACCTGTCCCAATTTTTTCCGAGCTTATGTCGAGGTCATAAAAATGATCGAGTACGACTCGGTCCTCAACGACAATCTCTGATTCGCGTCTAGACGCCGTTGGCTCGTAGTCGGTCAGAATCCCAGAATCAGTAGAGTCGACGGAGCAATAGCTCGTCTGCTTGTAGGCCCTCCTCCGCTGCTCGATCTTCTTGCAGTCGGCCTCCGAAATGGAGCTGATCCGCTGGATGCGGTTCATGATAAACGCCATCTTGCGTGCCGTAGAATTCTGCGGAGTTTGGGTTTCGGTAGATCGCATTCAAGGTTTTGCTTCTTCTGGAGAAATTTGGTTATCAGAGGGAATTTGGAATACGAAGCGCTGAGAACAAATATAGGGGGGTGGGAAGTGACTGGGAAATAGATATCAGAGGGTTGGGCAGAAGAAGCTGGGAAACGACCGGAAATAAAAACAGAGAAGTTGCTAGAGAGAGAGAGAGAGAGAGCGAGAGATACCTCTAGCTAGAAAATGTCAATGGAAAAACTCTTGAACTGATAAACTTCTGAACGTTTGACCGATTCAGGAATACGGTAGATTTGGGCAGCGTCCAATTACAACAGTTTTTCAAAAAACTAACGATGGTAAGTACAGCGTCAACTTTTCGAATTCACGATTCAGAGAATAAAAATTTGCATCTAGCTAATTTTAAGGGGTCTGGGAATCCTAGAAGAAAAAAATCCATGGCTTTAAATGATTTAGAGAATTTAGTAAAGTAAAAAAAACCGGTTTCTTATATGCTAATGTGTGATAGCGGCTCTATTTAATCGTAAAAACCAGCGCGAAAACGTAGAAAACTAAATTGGCGTGCAAAAAAGGCGATTTGCCGTTTTCGACCTAAAAAATTTCGTTAAGCTCCATAAAAAAAACGCTACACGCTCTTAAGATTGTTTTCCGGTAGGGACCAGGAAAATGGTGGAGAGGCGAGGGTATCGGAAGGGGGGCTGGGCATGGTGTGGAAAATGCTGGGGACCGCGGGGGTCCGGGCCGACCGGGAGCCCCCCCCCTTCTCTTCCAATTCTGTACAAATAGACAGACCGACAAACGGACACCATTGGAAAGAGCGAGATAGAGAGAGAGATAGTGAGAGTGAGACAGAGAGATAGAGAGAGAGACAGTGGGCCCAGGTGTCACCTAGCGAACGCGCGGACGCGGGTACGGAAGGCTGGAAGGGCCCGGGTACGCGGGGCTCCTGTGTTTCCGCCCAACCCAAAAATTTGGCTTTAAAAGGTATCAGTCATTTATTTTTCTGATCTAAAAATGCTAAAAGCATAATTCAGTTAATTTTAAAGGAAGGACCCTAAAACTCGGCTCAAAAATGCCGATAACTGTTAGAACTGCACTGTGTAGAGGAGCGTAACGTAGCGGAATCGTATCCTCAGGAGCCAGGGGTCTTTAAGGGTATTGGAAGCTCAATTTCATGCGGAAAAAATGGTGAAAAAATCTGGAAATAGCTCGACACCTCCTTAGCCCTTTATAAATCGTCCCCCGTTTCCGGTGAAAGCATCCAGTTTTAAGCGAATTCCCGCTGAATCATCAATTGCGTTCTATAGAACAAGTGCGGGGAACGTATAACGGCCATAAAGTGGCCATTTCTATACGTGTAATTGCATAATTTTTCAGATAATTTCAGGCTGCAGTTTTGAAAAGCTGGCAGTGACATATTCCGCTTGGGTTTTATTTTTAAATGCGTGATAAGCCGGCACCACTTTATTGCGTTTTTTGGGGCGTGGTATACTAGAGGTGTGGTTCGGGTAACGGGAAAACACGAGGGTAGATCTGGTAAAAACTGAAACTTTGAAAAGCAAGCAAACATGCAAAATAAAACGGCAAAAGGTAGATGTGTCAAAAATTCCAAAAAAAATTTTTTGAATCCTTGACGTTTTTAAAGGCTTCCAGGCTGCTATAATGTTGTAATTTAGCGAAATATTGCGTAATACAAGTTTGTAATTTAGTAAAATTAATAATTTGCGCCACTCCTTGCTTAAATCGTTTTAAAAGGACCGGGAAGGCACACCTTGGAGATTCCGGTAGAAGATCACTGTTAAATTATTTGGAAAATTTCGAGATCTGGCTAAAAAGGGCATGGTAGAGGAAATGTGCTTACTCCGCCTAGGTGCTTCCGGAAAAATAAGCAAGGCTAAAATCCCCCCCCTAAGAAGCGTCCTCTTCCGATTCCGCGTGTGTACGCTTGCGGACGCTTGTGGACACACGCCCAACGCAAAGAAAATGACCCGCGCGAACACCGTGTCCATTTTGCCGGCGCGTTTTTCTCGTGTTTGCACCCGAGTTTTGTGGCTATTTGCAGACCACCGCGAACCGCGTGTACTCGAGGTGATAAGTCGCCGGGAAAATAGAGAAAGAGCACGCTGGAGCATTTTTGGAACACACGAGACTATGTCGCGAAAAAACGGTAACAATGGTCGGCAGGCAGCGTGTGTACACAAAATACTACAGTTTAATCGGATTGCATTTGTTTTAGGAAGCAAAGAGCGCGCAAAGTTTAGGCAGCGACCTTCTGGCTAGCCTGGAATGTCTTGTGGCCAAAAATTAGAGCACTCAAATTTTCCCCGGCAAAAACTATAGGAGCATTCTAAAAATTAAAAAAACTACAAAAACGGATTTTTATAAACCTTCATTTGAAGATGAATGATGAAAAAGCTCAATTTTCCATCGGAAAGAAATATGAATGGTTGTCAGAACTTCGTTTCTTTGTTTCCAAGCTATATAATAATGAACTATAATGAAAAATATAGCTAAGCAAATTTATGAAAATTTTTCTCAAAAGCGAAAATCTATTTTTAGAATTTTTAGGCTCTTAGAAATTGGCCAAGGATTTTGTAAATTGTGCCTTTACATTTGTAACCTCAACCTTACATAAAAAACTATTTAAACTCGGTTATTTTTTAGTTTTTAAAGTGGCAAAAATGAGAAAATCCTGTATCATATACAGGATCCTACAGGTTTAGGTACCTCGTACATCTCTTCCAAAGTACCCTACTAAAAACAACCTGCAAAAGTGTTCTCTCAACTCTCAAACTCTGCAAATGCAGAGCACGTGCAGGACGCGAAAGGCCACGTGCAGGACACGAAAGACCACGATTGTGCATGTCCGGACATGCACAACCGTGGCCCTGGGTGTCCTGCACGTGGGCCAGGTAGTTTCTGCACCGTTGGGCATGTCCGGACATGCACAACCGTGGCCCTGGGTGTCCTGCACGTGGACCACCGTGTCCTGCACGTGGGCCACGGTGTCCTGCACGTGGACCCCGTATACAAGTCAACTTCGTACTCAACCGGAAATCAAATATTTCAAAAACTGTTCAAAGCTTTATCCGAATTAATTACTTTTTGTTATGATTCGGATTAATTAACTATTCTTAACTAGTAAAGTTAAGTAGAAGCCTTTTCAGACACGGCTCGCGATGGGGAAAAGGATTCTACTGGCGAAATGGTTTGAAAAGCGAAAAAATGAGGTTTGTTAGTTTAGAGCTAAATCCATCTGGTGTTACTTTTAGCGGCAAAACAATGTGGCGGCGGGTCGAGAAGACACAAGCAATGACTTGCTGGAAGATGGAGATTCCTAGTCCTAGTCCTAGTCCCTAGTCTACCTCTAGACCCTAGTCCGGTACTCAAATTAGAAAACATAATTGATCGTTTTAGAAACTTCAGCTCCATGCCACAAGGACGCCACGAATCTGCTCCACTAATGCCCCGCCGCCTTCCTCGTTGCCGGTATCAGTTCAGTTTTTGATGAGAGGCACTGATTCATATTTAGAAAGCACCTCGTAACGTCTGCCCTGCCTCGAGACTGCGTGAAAAATTTTTCGACCCAGCTGGACGCGTGCGCCCTTGGGAGCTAGTTCAGGTAATTTCTCTTCTTTAACATCAGTTTTGAATAAAGATAAATCAATCTCAACTGTTTTAGAAAGCGCTGCGTCAGCATAAAAATCCACCCGATTTCTGCGAACTGATGCGCTCGACTGTCGATTGCGATTTCCCCGATCCCTCCACCCGCGAATCTCTCCAGGAGATTATTGCCGTGTCTGCCTGGGTATGTTAATTCGCACCATGATTTTGCACATGCATTTTCTCAGTACTCTACCCGTGTCGCCGAGAAGACGGCCCCTGAAGCAGCAACCAAAAAAATCGAGAATGTGAGTTTCGGGTCTTTATCTTCTCCTAGATTGAATCTGACTTTCAGGAAAATCTGGGGCTTGTCGAACTTTTCGAGGGAAAGATTGTGGGTAGTTGCATTGTGGATGGCGTCGACCTTATGGATTATATGCGGTTGGCAATCAAAGGTCCTCACTTTCGTTTGGTTCAATCGTTTTCAGTTTAGATGTCCCGGACAGTCTATTAGGACTACGTTGGGTCGATTGGGTGATTCCACATACAATAAAGCTGGTAATTTCACTGTTTGGTTCATTTATCGTCTAGGTCTTCCCGTCAAAAATCGACAGGGCTTTACTCAGCACCCGCGCCTCCGAGATCTACAAAATCCTCGGACATCAATATGTCACAGGCTTGACCGGTAGACTCTCGAGCTAATTTCAAGCTTCTTTTAGATGGATGCCTGGAGGCCTTGAATGCTGATCCGAATGAAAAAGCCACTATTCGTCCCGATTTCCGGGACTATGTCCAAAAACGGCTAGATTTGACAGTGTAAGTCGATGTTCAGCGTTCTTTACCCAGCCGTTTAGTCGTAAATGGCGCGAAAAATATAAGGCGAGTGAGAAAGAGTTTGAGACCATTCCGCTTCCATCCGCTCTTCTCGGGAAACCTCTTCCCCGGGTTCCCAGCGAGCTCGCCGCCATCTTGAAGACCGCGGGGTATCGGGTTAAGCCCGCGAGGTATCTGCTTAGACGCCCACTTGTTATCACAATCCATTTAGAATCGATAATGACGCGGAGAAAAGCCCGCCACTTCCCGCGACTTGCCCGCCGATCAATAATTGAACCTCACCCCAATACATTCATTTTGCTTTGCTGATTTGTCGCTTTTCCTAGATTATCTTTTCTTTGCTTTGATGCCCCTGCCTAAGGCTTGTTATGTTTCTAAAATTTTCTCGCTTTTCAGGATTTATATTTCATGCAATGTGCCTGCCTTTTATGAATGTAGGAAGTTGATCAATAAACGGGCGTGATTACCGATTACGCACGACAGAAAGCTTTACCATTAATGCATTAATACAGCGGGGAGCCTGTACGGTTCGCTACGGCGGGACAGTGCAGCCCACGAAAGGCCACGTGCAGAACACGAAGGTCCACGTGCAGGACACGAAAGTCCACGTGCAGGAGACGAAAGCCCACGTGCAGGAGACGAAAGTCCACGTGCAGGACACGAAGGGCCACGTGCAGGACACGAAGGGCCACGTGCGTGGACATGTCCTGCACGTGGCCTTTCGTGCAGAGGGCCACGTGGCCTTTCGCGTCCTGCACGTGCTCTGCATTTGCAGAGAATCTCAGGCAACCATCAAAAAACAGCCTTGCAAAGGTACAAAGGCACTCAGGCTTAGGAAATCCTCCCGCCCACGTGATATCCGCATTTCTTTATATACGGTCCGAGGGGGGGGGGGGGCAGAAAATAGGGTGGAAATAGGGGAAACAGGAGGAAGAGCGGCCCGGAAATAGCCAGTGTCCTATAAACAAGACCGTGCTGCCGGGGGGTGGCCGACAGGCTGGCCGGGCAATTTGAAATGTGTCCTATGCAAATTTGGGGGAACACCTATATACTTGTAGGAACACATGAAAAAAGCGTCAACAACCCCGGAAATAATGGGAGAAAAATGTGACTGGGTGGTATTAGGTTGGCATATAACAAAAGGCACGCCCATGTCGACGTATGTAAAGGTATGAATCGTCGCGGATAGGTGGCGGCGTGACGATTTTTTGCTGGGTTTTTGTACCATGAAAAAACTAGAAATACGCTAGAAAAACTAGGAAAATAGAATATTTTTACAAAAACTTAGCTATTTTACAACTGTACCATGATATTTTTGCTTCGCTTTATATTGTCAATATACATCCCTATGATAATTTGCATATTTCATTTATTTTTAGAGTATGAAACGAACCATTTTAACGTTGAAAAACTTAGCTCTCCATGTTTTCGCTTCCAAATCCGGGGCTTTCTTAAAAATAACCTGGTATCTAAAAGAATATACTAAAATAGTTAAAATTAACTAGTGCTTTCTATATGCTACTACCGACTTAAATTATAATGAAACCATGAGCTAATGAAGAAAATCCTGTTCATATTGCGCTACAAAATTCTTAGTCGAATTGGCTTCCTTCTTTCTAATAATAATATTGATCATCGACAATTGACGTTTCTAAGATTTAAGGGATGGATAAGGCTCGGCTTTTTGTAAGAAATATACGAGATATCTGAGAGGATTATGCAAATCCGGGTGCCCCCTTTATAAAGGTCAGCACCATTTCGTAGTCTGTAGCCGGATAGCCTGGGGGAAGGGGGCTGATCTCTAAAGGTTGGTGGCGATGACGTAGCCAGTCCAGTAAGAGCAGTATTTCGCAGTTGTTGATGCCCCCAGGGTGGGCAGATGGCGGATATGCAAATTTGGACGTGATCTTTGGTAATTTTAGAAGGTTCTCGAAAGGTATCGGAAAAGTATCAGAAAATCCAACTTTGCGCGTTCTTATGCTTTCAACGATACAAAAATTAAAAAAAGATACGGTATGGAAATTTTTTTATAAAATGTTCTGGAGAAAACCAGCAGATTAAATTGGCAGAACTTCAAATACATATTTCCAAGTTATGCTAAATTTGTCAGATCCAACGACAAAAGAGAGAGAGAGAGAGAGAGAGAGAGATATCCAGCAAGTCAGAGCCACAGTCTGTTTCGAAGTATCTTAAGCTATAAATAGCTTGCCCATATGACGAAATCCACAAATTATTCCACGACCAAGACAACAGAAGCTGCCCTAGAATTCGTACAGTCCACGCGGTGTGAATCATCGTCGTTGGTCCGTTTTTCCGTGCGGATCCGAACGAATACAAATTGAGGGGTGGGCGGAGCTGTGGGGACGGTGCCAAGCACGAAATGGCAGATCAAGACAATAACAGATTTCTCGGAAAATACTGATTTGAATTGGAATTTAATGGTTTCACTTTAACGAAAAACCGCGTTTGGAAATCACTGCCCAAAATTCGAATGGATCATTCAGAATTGAGAAACCGCCGTTTCCGCCGCGACAATTTCGAGCAGTCCAAATAACAACAAAAGACGCGTGACGCGCCCGGTCCAAATGGCCGAAACGAGCCTTTGATTTTGTCTGTTTTGGACTCTTGCTCGGGGCAAGGAATACAGCTTCTTTTATACTTTTGTTGGGGTGGGTGCTGAATTTTAAAAGGTAGTGATTTTTAAGATGGTAGAAAAAAGGTATATCATGTTTCTTTTTTCTAGGTTTCTTAAGTTTTTGTCCACATAGTGCTATGATAAAAATACGTCACGATAGTTAGATAGGGTACAGGTGCGGCTATGTAAGACGTATCGCTCCCCTTAGGTAGTAACATGCCGAAACGCTTACGAGGCTTATTTCATACATTATAAGAATAGCTATTACTAATGTAGAAAATACAAATGATAATATAGTGCATGAGAGCCATAAAAAAGCGCTAAACAGTGTCGAGAAAACCCCGCATTTTTGAAAATGATTACATTTTAAGTTCGTATCGTGATCCAATTTTCATAAACCAGTTAAAACGATATTCGAGCAACTGTAAAATCCGGAAAAATTACAAAAATTACCATCAATATTAATATATAAATTCCACCCACCTTATCCTGTCGATTCAGCCTCCGATTTTCGACAATGACGTCTATTCGCGACGGAATTTCCGACTCCAGGATCGGCAAATTTGCATACTTTGAGAAAGTAGGCACTTGCAGCACGGCGATCTCGGCCTGGAATTGAGAAAATATGAATTTTTAAGGTAAAAATAAGCCAACTTCATGCCACCAACTTTTAAATAGTAGTTTACCACCACGATTTTACTCTACAGACACTACAAAACTAATTCAATATTAACTAACAAAAAGCCGCCATCACGAATTGACATTATAGACCCACATAACGATACAAAAATTATGAGCTTACCATGAGAAATTGAGCAAATCAACGCCTAGAAATAACGTACAAATTTTATGAGGATGTTTTCGAGAGCAATATGAATTACGAGAATTCTTGTTTGGTGGTCGAGGCGTTGTTTATAAATGACTCATCGATCCCCCCGGCCTAATGCATATGCGAGGTGGAAATGATTTTTTTTTAGTATCATCATAAAAACAGGAAAAAAGTGTTTCCGGGAATCCTTAGAAAAAACAACCTTTAAAACGAAATCAAAAGATATTTTAATCTTCATTTAATTTTCTCAACACTTAAAAATCACACAAAACTAGCTAAATTCCTTAAAAATCAGAAATGCGCCTGAGTTTTTTGTAAATTATGCAAATTTGTAATCTTTAATCTATGAGAATTGTAAAAAGAGGTAACATTGTACAAAAATCAAAAATATTAGGTAATTTGGACAATATTGCTGCCGAAATCTACCAAATTTAAACCAGACAATTTAAATGGTCTAGCGAAATCGAAAAAAAAACAAATTAAAAAGGTTTGTGACCTGCATAAAAGGCAATTTCACCTTCTAAAAGGTAAGAAAAGCGTTTTGACATGCCAAAAAGGAACCCTTGCAACCTGAAAAACACGATACCGGAAAATTTTCATGATATATTGTCCCCGATTTTTCAAAATTTCAACCAAAATCGACCGGAATTGGTGAAATAACGTACCCCACAAATTCCAGCGGTCAAACTAGGGTGCCTAAAGATCAATAAACTTGCTAGGCCGGGGACCAATACTAGGCAGTGGGCTTGGGACCCCCCGTTTGTCCCAACCCCCCGGATGGCCGGGGTTTCGTGTGCCGTGCGCAAGCCCCGGAAATAGAGGGTCAAGAGAAGAGGTGCCAGGTCGAGACGAAGGTCCCACCATTATCCCCCAACAACCCTAACAACGGCACGTTCACTAGGTGTGAAAATCGGCCTAGAAATGTTTATTTTTTCCTGGACCCTTGGTTTTGATTTTCTTACTGTGGCTTAGCTATCAAATTAGAGACAGAGAGAGATATAGAGAGAGAGAGAGAGCGCGACAGACAGAGAGATAGCTAGGAAAAGCGATAGAGAGCAAGAGAAACCGAGAGGGAGTACGCGCCTGGCACGGGAGCGATAGAACGTGAGAAATGGAGCGAGAGATAGAGCGAGAAAGAGAGCAAGAGAGAGAGAGAGAGAGAGAGAGAGAGAGAGAGAGAGAAGAAGGAGAGAGAGAGAGAGAGAGAGAGAGAGAGAGAGAGCGATAGCTAGATAGACCTCCACAGCCCCAAACTTACAGTTGTCAACTTCCGATGCAGTTGCCCCTGCTGCCTTGAAGCCTTCCGGAGCGGCAGCCTCAGACTTCTTCGGATAGCTGTCGACAACCGGGCGAATGAGCCTAAAAAGAGAAAAATATTTGTTGATAAATTTTCAAAATCTGAAACGGATCAACAATTACCATCAGCATTCCTCGTCCCGCGATTAATCGGCGCCGGGGCGAGATCGCCCTCAATTGAGTCGCCCTCCTCATCTGAAGGGTAGGCCATTTTCCAGCTTTTCGGCGTTTCTTTGTCCTTGTATCGTAGTCCGACAGCAGCAGTTCCAGAGGTTTTGAAGCTCCTGAAATTTGCATATTATTTGGAATGTTTTGAAAAACATCTAGAAAAATTTCTGATCGGCAAAGTCGGAAAATGAAGGTGGATACCAAAAAATTCAAAGCTAATTTTTAGAAGACAAGGAGAAACAGCCAGAAATCGGCAGGCAAAATACCGACAGGCAAAATGCCGACACGCAACTCATCGAATCGAAATGTTTTTTGTGTATAATTTAGCCTTTGGCGGTCGAGATTTCCAGAAAAATATGGGAAGATCGTAACTCCATCAGCCCTTTAAAATCGGAAAAAGACAGAACGCAAAAACGCGTACGAATTTGAACCCGGCGCGATTTCGAACCCTTTTCAACCCCTTTACCGGAAAAATGACTGATGTCAGCCCCTACAAAAGGCGATTATTTTCCATCTTTTGATCCGAATGAATCAGAGAGCAACGGCGTAACTTAAGAAAAAAAGTATCGAGAAAAACTAGACGGGAAAATCGTCATTTTCCGGAATGTTACGGAACTCACGGAAAGCTACAGTACTTTAAAGATCGACCAGCTAATTCTAAGTAATATATAATTGGCTTTTGGTCGCTTTTCTCATTTCAAGTAATCTGACGTATTTAAATTCTTTAGTTTGACATTAAATCCTTGCAGACGAGAAATTAGAGATCGTAATACCTAAAATTCGGAGAATATTTTTAACATGAAAAAATGACTTTCAAAGTTACATGAAAAAGTTTCAAAAAATTTAAAAATGGTTTTCATCTGAAAAAATTGTAAAAATCTCTTTTATATAGACTTTTCGGAAGCAAACATATAGCAAAGTGCTTTGAGTGAGCCGGGAAGTGCTTTCGGGGGGCTGATAAGCCCGAACAATATCGCAAAGTGTGAATAGAGACCAACAATTGGTCTCAACCGTCCAATTAAACACAAAAATTCTATTTTTAAAAATTGTAAAAATAGATTATAACGAGGGTTGAAAAGCCGCTTCGCGACTTTTCAACCCTGGCCATGTCTAACCACTCATATTCTTCACTCTGCATACATCTCTCGAATTCGTATGAGAAAAATGAAAAATTCCACGCTCTCGCGTTTAGAGTGAGGGAGGCCTAGGCTAAAGCCTAGGCTTGCCTAGGCTTCCTCAGGCTTTTTTAATTTGCATCGCCTGGGCTGAGCCTGGGCTATGCAAAGTGCGCCTGACCTCTAATTCGTCAGGCTTTATCTGGAAATTTTATGTAAAGTCGTATAATATTCGAAGTTTTGCCAAACAAATAAGGATTTTTTTGAAACTTCCGGGGGGTTCAAGAGCTGTATTGGGTCCAAGAATATTCTGCAAAGTTGGGGTACTGTTTTTGACAAACCTTACGGCACGATACGTTAATAGCCCGCGGATACACAAAAGTCAAGAGTCGGTTCGAACAGGCGGGGGATGCAATTGGCTCTCCTGACCTCCTGTCTATATTTTTCCCCCCTTCGGCATCCTTGTAATTTGTTATTGCGACAAAAGATACCAACGGTTTATAGATGCAGTAACCAGATTAACATGTTTTTGCGCATTGCATAAAAAGCCTGCGTAAATCCTTAGGCTTCCGCCAGGCGTCGGCAGGCGCGGAAATGCAATTCGGCCCAAGAAAGCCTGAGGAGGCCTGCCGCTCCCTCACTCTACTCGCGTTATATATAGGCTGCCGCCAGTTCCGGCAGATGCTAATTTTTCCTAACAAAGAAGGCTGTCGGATTTTTCAACAAAAACTCAATTTTAATGTCGAAAATAGCGTAATTTGCAAAATATGATATGCGCGCAGTCATCTCGGGGCCATTACGCACCTAATGACGTATCATACGTACCTTAAAACCCCTCCCCTCTTGAGATATTCTCCGGACACGGTGACGGAAGTTGCATGCAAATGCACACACACACAAACACTATTTTTTTATATATAGTAGATAAGTTTTTTGATCAAGCCTCATCAACAGAACCCAAAGATGAAACAATGCGTTTTTTGAGCAGGGATAGTGGAAATGGAAGAGAAGCCGCTGGGGGAAAATGATAGCGAATGGTGGCGAGCCGTTGATCCCGGAGTGCGTGTCAATTTTAGGGGATCGTTGATTGATTGCGGGGACACTTTTGAGAGGGAGCAGCAGAACGATACCTTTAAGCTTACTATAGCCATAAAATTGGTAAGACTTTACTTTGCCCCCCCAGCCGGAAGTTAGTTTTTTTTGGCTATAACTTTTTTATATTACATTATTTTAGGCTCTCATTAAAAATCTTAGCATATTTCTTGATGCTCTATCGATTGACGTAGCCAAAAACCCGACAAAATGGCAGAAATGCCGAAAAATTTTGGTCATTTCCGGCTGGGGGGAAGAAAATCTAGCCATAAAATTACCGACACTGGCTGTCGACGGCTCGTGATGTCGACATTCATAATACCGACACTTTGTGATGTCTATGCCCGGAATGCCGACAGTTCGTACTATCGACATTCATAATACCGCCAATTTGTGATGCCTATATTCGGAATGCCGACAGCTCTTAATATCCATATCAAATACCGACAGTTCGTAACGACTCCGCTCAGAATGCCGACAGTTCCCAATATCCATATTTAGAATACCGAAAGTGGCAATACCGACACGGATCATTCTGACAATTTATAATACCGACGTTCTTAATAGTGACAGTTCGTAAGCTCAAACCTTAGAATGCCGAAAGCCCGCATGTTTCGACAAATAATGCCGACAATTCCTGCTATCAACAACCGGAATCCCGACATCCGCGACTCTCGCCAATACCGACAGATGGCGTGGTATTTTAGATTTATTTAGCTTTTAATAGTTTAGATGCGGTTTTTTGCAAAAATATCAAAATTATAATTTTGTTAACACCCTTGAATTCGAAACTTTTAAATAAGGTGAAACGATGGAATTTGCTTCATAGCCTGGAGCTGATCGAAAGAGGTATAAGAGACTAGTCCCGGAAACCGCATGTGTGTAAAATGGCCATGCCGCGCCCAGGGCGGGCGCGCTGTAAGGAAATTAGGGGCCCTTGCGCAACTTGGTGATAGGTGTCAGCTAGAAGCGGGTAGCACTGTAGATTTAATAGAATGCAATGAAAGTATAAATAGAGGAAAATTTCGAGATTTTCTATGTAAATAGTCCAGGAAAATATACCTTGATATTACTATAAAATTAATAAAATTGAGCAAATGTATAAATATGACCTCGTTTTAACTTGGTCTCGGCAAAAAAAATGTGTTTATTAAGCTCAGGCAATTCGATCTGATACCAAAACCCCGCTATAAAGTTAAAAAGTAAGCAAAAGTATGAAGCTAGTAATTTCAACATTTCCTGGGTAAAAATATTGCCAGAATTGAAAAACTCCGAGTTAAAATAACCAATTTACATGCTCCTTTAAAAAGAAACTAGCCACAAATAGCCGGCTGCAACCGCCGAAAGAGAGAGCACCCGAACACTCGAATTTCATCAAAAATATTCCCTTTTATCACCCGACGAACGTTCGGCCCGTGTACGAGCGGATCGAAAAGCTATCAATAACAGAGTGTCCCGGAGATAATCCTGAATAATAAGGATTACCCGTTTTCTGTTATTGTTAGGTCACCGTTAGTAGACATGTTCTGCGCTGGTCTATGAGCGCCCAAAGCTGGAATAGAGTTGCAGGAACTTTGCAGCTACAGTTGTTTTCGGGATTGCTAGCCGGAATGCCGAGAGTCAAAATGCCGACAATCAAAATGCCGACGAGTCAAAATCCTCGACAGAAAAATTCCCAAATTTTGGGTCGAAGTTGCAAGAATGGCAAAAAATTACAGTAACAATATTCTGGGGATTTTTGCTGATAATGCCGACGGCCGTAACGCCGAAAGTGAAATACCGACGATAAAAATGCCGAGGGTCAAAATGTCAATAATCAAAATGCCTACAGCAGAGGTCCAAAATTTTTTGGGTGAAGCTGCAAGAAAAGAAGAGGTACAGTACCGGGGTTCGGGGATGTCCAACCAGAATATAGACTGTCAAAGCGCCGACAGTAAAATGCCGACAAGCCAAAACTGCGACAACGAAATACCGACATTCGAAACGCCGACAGCAAAATTTCTTCGGGGATTTTTAGCAAAAATTCGAACAGCTAAAAACCGAAAACCAAGACACGGACAGAGCAGAATCAAATAACGACAGCCAAAATGCCGACAGCAAAAAGGTTACAGAGTTACCGATCATAAATTTTAATAAACACATATAATCTAATAGTTATAAAAACTTTTGAGATAAAAGCTCTATGCATTGCAATCATTTTCTATGCAAAATCCAGACGGGAAGCTCATAAAAACGCACATAAAACCTCAACGCCAAGGCACCGTCGATGACTCATCATGTTTGCTTCACCGGCTAGCGCCTTTGGCCGTCCGCCAATGCAAAATAGTAAACCCCACCGGACCAGGGTCAAAATTTGAAAGATCCGATCCATCGCGCGGGCAACCGAGCGCGCGTAGGCTATCCCCCGGTGAGCAGACCTGCTCTTCCTCCTCCTTTCCCCGTGCCGCTTTCAAATTCTCTCATTTCCGCACGCTAAATCCCAACTTTCACCCCCAACAACAGCTCTGGCCGAGCCTTCCCGCGAGCCTTGCACGCTATTTCGCGCCCCTGTCGCGCGTGAGGGGCCGGGTTGCCAACCCATTATTCCCCCTTGCTGGCCGGTCAGACCCGCAGAGTCCCCTCATGAAATTTCACGTGTAATTCGCTGCGACAGGTTTCGGGTGAAAAACTGTGTTTTGAGAGCTGTGCGCATTTTAGGGCGGTTTTTTGGGTATCTATTTGTTGTTAAGGAACAAAAATGTTGCAGAGATCAAATTTAGCATAAACTGTAGTTTTCTTTTCATGGATTATCAACTTTAGCTTTGGAAAAAGCCGGATCACGCTAAATTTTGTAAAGAAAGACGAAGAAGTCGTTGCAATAACGGAGCGTTGCGTAGCTGGGCATATCCGCGCGTAATTGATCCTGTTTTTAGATTTTTCCTACTTTATAAAGTTTTTAAACTCTGATTTTTCGCGATTTTGCTCTTTAAAGAAAGTAACAAACTTTAAAAAAACATTTTTTTCAGAATGGACTCTGACGAGGAGTTTTTCTCGGCCTCCTCCGGCGATGAGCAAGATTTTCCGAAGAAAGAAGTCACAAAGCGTGGGTTTTGCTTCTTGGGTATATGTCGGCTACGCGGGGGGGAAAATTTTACGCGGGGGGGACGGACTATTGGGGCCGAGCTAACTATTTTTTTGCGTTTCTTTTTGCTACAAACAAAACTCTTAGTATATTTTTTGACGCTCTGTCGAATGGCACTAAACAAATTTTGTAAAAATGTCGAAAATGTCGAAAATTTGATTTCCGTCTATATCCTCCATGAAAACAACGTTTAATACTTGTTTTTTGTTATAACTATTTTATATTACATTATTTTGAGCTAAAATTAAAACTCTTAGTATATTTTTCGATGCTCTATCGAATGGCATCTTTAAAATGTCGAAAAAATGGCGCGAATATTGAAAAACAGCCGCTCAAACCGATTTTCAAAGCTTATTTTTGTATTTGCCATAACTTTTTTATATTACACTAATTTTAGCTAAAACAAAAACTCTTAGTATATTTTTCGATGCTCTATCTAATGCCGTTGCGAAAATTCGGAGAAAATAACGAAAACGTCCAAAAAGGCCTGCCTGTCCCGTCCCCCCCGCGTAAAATTCCCCCCCCCCCCGCGTAGCCGACATATACCTGCTTCTTGTAATGTCTATTTTGGCCCTCGGAGATGCATTTTCAAATTTATATATGTTTTTTAGCTTCTACCCCACCTCCACAGCCTAAATCTGTCGAAAAACCGAAGGATGAGCCCAAGAAAATAGCGGAACCTGTGAAAAAAGAGGTCCATCTTGAGGAAAAACCGAAGGAGGAGCCCAAAAAAGACTGTCGAGCCTGTGCTTATCGAAGAAAACGTGAAGGTTGAGATACGAAAAGGTTCATCTGACGAGTCAGGTAGTTTTTTATCTGGAAACTGTATAATTTCCACCTCCAGAAGCTTCGATAACGATCAACGAATCGGAGAAGGAGAGCCAATCCAGCGAGGATTTCGTGGTGGCCGATATTCCGCAGCCCATCACTTCATCGGGTATTAAAAATAAGATTGCTTGATTAAAGAAACATTTTTAGAATCCGGCGACAGCAAATCTTCCAGCAGCCGAAGCGCTGAAAAGGAGGGTTCAAATTCGGCAGATGATGATGCGGAAGCGACGGCGGATGGTTGGGAGGATTGGGATTGTGAGTTTATCTTTAGTTTTTGATATTTAACTTCCAAAACTGTAGTGTAGGAGAATGTGGCGTTAAATTTGGCCAAATCTAAGTTCTAGATACGTCATAAGATTAATTACAACGTTAAAACTCGCATTAATAGTTTTTTTCAGCCGAAGCTCCAGAAAAAGAGGCCAAAGACGAGAAGAAGGAAGCTAAAAACGGCAGCCAGCGACAAGAATCCACCGAGGAAGAGGACACGAATTGGGACTGGGGCACGGAAGGCTGGAAGGAAGAGAAGTAAGTTCAATTAGTGACTTTGGTGCAATAAAACGTGTCTTTAAGCGTTTAAGGTTGCTAAACAATTTTTATAGGCCTTCCGAGCCCGTAAAAGAGGAAAAGAAGGGCCCGCTGAGGCTGGGAAAGCCCGCTGCGGCAAGCGATCCAATCGGCTGGGGTGGATTTGCTAACGTAATCGGTTAGTCCTCACTTTCAAATTTTTGTATTTCAATTTATTGTAGGAAAAAGCTTTTCCTCGGCGGTGGAGAGCACCTTTGGACTACCCAGTGCTGAGGAATTTGCTCAACAAGCGAGCATAGCTGATGAGAGAGCTGAAGCCGAAGAACTGGCCGAGAAGGAGAAGCCGCCGAGGAGCGCTTTTGAAGCCCTAGCAGGTTTGCGTTTATCATAATAATGTTAGTATAATAACTTTTCAATTACTTAAACGATTACTTTGCCTTTTTAGAAGGCCCGAAGCCTGCCCCGGTCCCGGCTTTCGGCCTATTTTCCGGGCTTGTTGCTGGCGGTCTAGACGCACTGGAAGCTATCGGAAAGAAGACGTTCGAGACGCTGACCGTTAAGGATAAGGTGGTCTTAAGAACTCACTTAATTATATATATTTTTAGGCCGGAAGAAGCCGTCTTTTCTTCGATCAATCCAGCGAAGAACCGCTCTCGGACTTGTTGAAACGAATCAAAGACGAGCAAGCCCGTTCCCAGCAGCAAATACGGTAAGAACATACTTTTTTATTGATTTATGCTTTAATAGTTTTGTGATTATTCTAAGCTATTAAGGTACCTTTTTAGCGCCGTCGCCGACCGACCGCTCGACTTTTTCACGGCCATTGGCGAGACGACAGCAATGCAGAATATCGAGGCCCTTGAGCTGCTGACAGGAGCAAGTGGAATCCCGACAAATTCCAAGTAAATTTAGTAATTTTAATTATAGCTCGTTTTTAGAAGTGTCAACGTTCTCCTCGAGCAAATCATCCCGAAATCGATGCCGACCGCTGTCGATTTTACGCGTGAATTCCGGCGATTTTTGAAGAATATTTGTTCCCTGGACCCGTCGCCGGTTTTGAAGATGCATGAACGCGTCAGTTTTGTTTTTGGAAACTACAACTTTCTGTTTTTAACTATAACCATGAAGTTTTCGGCATTTTTAGGCCTCAAAAACACTTGCCGAGGCTAAGGATTTGGAGCCAAAAGAAGCCTACACAAAGTCACTATCAGCTTTGGTGACGATAACTGAAGCTTTTGTGCAGGTAATCAAGTTATCGTTGATGTTGATGGACTAGTGTTTTTATCAATACCAGTAGGCTGCTGTTAGCATTCTCTGATGAAAATATGGCAGAGACTATCATATAATATTGTTTATTTTCAGCTCCTCGCCAAGGTCACCCAGTTGCGATATTCTGCCGGTGACAAAGTGCCCACCGACGGCTTCATCCAATTCTGCAGCGTGCTCAAAGGGGCGCTCGCCGAGTTTGAGAACGTTTCCAGCGAGTTGCCGGCCGGTCAATACTTTGTGAGTTTTTGCGCAAGTCGGCGTGAGAGTTGCTTATCTGGCTGTACGATCGCGGGAACACACACGACCCTGAAAAAGCGTGCTATAATCTGGTGTGTAGATTTTTGCCACAAGAAATTTCGGGGATAAAATTAGGGAATAGAATGCGCTTTCCACACCCATTTTTTAGTGAATTCGGGTCGTCTTTTTGCGGAAAGAAATTTCGCAAGAAAAATTCGCGAATAGCAGCATTTTCGAAAACCTAGATTTTTTGGTTAATTCAGAGTGTCGATCGCCGCATAAAAAAGCCGCACTGAATTCCAGGTTTCAAACTTTCAGTTTAAATTTAAAGAAAATTTAATTTTGAAAAACGCGTTTTTTTAATTAATGAATTGGATTCGCCCGAATATTCCGTGCAAATTTCTGCGGCAACAAATTCCGCAAGGCAGAGAACGGGAGATTTCAAAATTTTCTCTCTTGTCCAGAATTTCTAAATAAATTTTGCAAGACATTTTTTTTACAGGGCGAAGACGTGGCCACGCGGTATATGGTCGACTGCCAATCTGCCCAAGAACTCCTCGAGCGCATCTTCCGACTTTCCGTTACCGTACTCTGTGCATAATTTTGACAGTTTTTTACACAATAATTGATTTTTTTGTGAAATTATAACCCCTCAAATACCGATAATGTGGCATTATTATGCCCGCGTATGCCATTTCCGGTCTTCATCAATGTATTACGGTCCTTGAATTCGTTTAACTAGCTTTTTCCTCTCGATAATCGCAAGCTTCTACCCCAGTGCCTCTGTGTTAACCCCGGGAATATGTGATATTTTTAGCATTTTTGCGAGATAGTACTTCTTTTTTGCTGTGCCTTTGCGTCGGATTTTTGAATAAATTTTTATGATTTAATTTGATTCTTTTACGTATTTTTAGTGAGGCAATCTCTCATCGATCTCTGTATTTTTTCGAGGAGTTTCGAATTTATGCAGAAAATGAGTATACAAATACAGGTATTCTACGATTTATGGCAAAATATTAAAAAAAACTTGTTCTATCGGAATTTTTCACGATGCGGCCTGTTTTTGAACTTTGATTTACTTGGAAAATAGCTTTTAGCATTTGTTTCGTGGAAAGATACGGTTTCCGGTTGAACCCGATGATAATAATTGTTTCCCTCTCAAGCTCAATACTAGTAAAATTCCAGGTAATGAACTTCCTGCGGACGGCCGCCTCGCTGGCGTCCAACTCACCGGCCGCCCAGCAGCTGGTCCAGAATTTGGCAGGGCGCACGGCTGCTATGTTCCAGCGAGAAGCCAAAGATCTCGAGGTATGTAATTACCTCAAATTATGACATTTTTATTTCTTAAAATGTACGGTTTCAAAAAAAAGGGCTTACTACTTTTTAATTTTAATTCGATTAAGCCCAAGAAATTATGTTTTTAGATAAGCACCATCAGCGAGTCCGCGCTGAAAAGCTTGATTCTGCTCGACAGTAATGCGGCGACGTCACTCTACAAAGTACTTAATTTTACGAAGCGAAAATCGGGCTTTTTTAGAACTCTGCCGGCTTCCAAGTCATCTACAGGCCCACACGAAAAGTGCTGCTCAAAACGCCAAATGAAGCCGAGGGCAAAATCATGGCCAACCGGCTGAATATGCTGTTTGGTGGGGTGAATGAAGGTAATTATCGATTTCTTAATAAAAATGATGGTTTCTAAGATCCACTGAAGCCACTCACCGACGCCGAGTTGGTCAAGATTGCCGGGATGGCGCTGAAAAAACCCGGATTGGAGTGAGGTGGGGGGATCTAGGGATGACTTTGTTTTAAATTTAATTTCAGGTACATCTGGCTTGCGCGCTCGGCTTGGTGCGCACGTTGAAGAGCAGCTTCCAGCAAAATGGGCTCGTGTGAGTTACTGTAATTTTGGATTTTGTTCGTTTGGCTTTAAAGAGCTCTGAAAATTCCCAAGTTGCCTTGACTAGCCGACGTCTTCGAGAGTTCAGCTATTTGCGGCCCTCGCCCCTGAAGATTCCTATGCGATATTTGCTAGCCTAGGTTTTCCAAACGATCAGCTGCTTTCAAGCGTCATTTAAAACCGGATTTTCAGGTTGGTGAACACGCCAACGGCCGACCCGAATTCTGCCGTTTTTCCGCTTCACATCGCCTGCGAGCATAATCAGGTAATCATAGTTTGGCTAGCATTAATCTTAAAAAATAAAAAAAAGCATAATGATTATGAGAATAATTTTTTTTCAGTACGAAGCCGCAATGCTCTGCATCTCTGCCGGGGCCAAGCCCGAGAAGCTCGGGTCGAGGGGTGAGACGGCCTACCATGTGGCGGCGCGAAGCGGGGATTTACGGCTAATGCAGGTATGGTAGAGTTACGGTATTGAAGTCGTGATTTAGGCATTGTTAGCCTACAACTCGGCCGAAGCCATCAGGGTCTGTGTTGATGCTGAAGATTTGCACGGGTTTACGCCTTTGCAAGAAGCCATTCGACATGAGAATTTTGATGGGTTGAAGGTGAGAGTGAGAGCGAGAGCGAGAGAGAGAGAGCGTGCGAGAGAGCGAGAGACATATTTTGAATTTTTCAGAAAATCCTTTCCGACCTACAAGCCTGCCGCAACGCCAAGAAGCAAGTCCTCGGCTGCCTGGTTGGATATCAAATCAAAAACTACGAGAACTGGAAATAGTAAGTTTTCGGAATCCTGGTCCTTTATATACATTTTCCAGTATCGCGCAGCTGATCTGCGCCCCGCAGCTCGATTGGCTGATCCAGATGAACAGCGCCGGCGACGCGGTGCTGCACCTGAAGCTGGAACCGGATGTGGGTTACGGTAGATCGGTGCAAAAAATTTTATTCAGGTTTTGCGTGTGATCTGCTCGTACGCCGATTCCGGAACTTTGGAGCTACCAAATGGGCGTGGGATGACACCGCTACAAGCCGGTAATTAGATCTGAAATTGGGGCAGGTCGGCAGGGATTTTTGGGGGATTTAGTAATATAAAATTCTCTTCTATAAATGTGCCACAACCTGGAGAAATAGCTACAGTGTTTCTACAGTAATTTTAAGCTACTCTTTTTTTTTAGCTATCGCGCGCGACGATCTGGCCGCTTGCGTGTGTTTCGTGTCCTTTGGAGCCGACGTGAACAAGCGAACGCAAGAGTCCTGTATCCAGTTGGCATTAAAGGTAATTTACACATTAGTTAAAGACCGTATTTTGTACAGTATGCCAGCCCAACAATTCTGCAACTGCTGATCCTGCTCGGGGCAAAGATGGAGGGCAACGACTCGCAGCTGGTCAACCAAAGGGATAAAGTTTACATGTGGGTTTGGTTTCGAAATATACGTGATAAATTTAAGAGTCGTGTCACAAAATGTTATCGTTAAATTAAATTTTGTAAAAATCGGATTTTTAGCGAGCAAATCCGGAAAATGTTCAGTGGAAAATTGGAGCCAAGTTTGGATGCCGCGATGAGAGCCCATTTGCTATCTGGTAATTATTTTTCATATTATCGTTTTTACCACGATACCTTACGTTTTCTCATTCAGAGAATACGATCCGGATCCGTGACGCCCTTCTGAATACCGTACCTTCGAACAAACACCTCGCCATTTCTCTGGACGGTGGTGGCATTCGAGGACTGGCTGAGGCTCAGGTATCTAGATGTAACGTATTTTTGTATTCGTACAATATATTGTGTTGTACTCATACGAATTACGTTACGTCAAGGAAAATTATCATTCAATTTTTTTTATTTTTAGATGCTCTTCGAACTCCAGCGCATCTTAGGTGACTCGTTTTTGCCAAGAATCGAATGGCTGGGAGGTAAAAAATTCTTTGTCAATTTTTATTGATTTTTAAGGTACCAGCACCGGGTCGATTCTAGCCATCGGCTTAGCGCTTGGCAAATCACCACAAGATTGTATCAGATTGTATCTTCGTTTCAAGGACGAGGTTTTTAGGGTGAGAAGAACTTTTACCATAATTTAATTCGGCTGTCTATTTTAGTTGAGTTCGATTACACAAGAGAATTAATTATCTTTAGGGCGATAGACCGTACTCGGAGCAGAACCTCGAGAAATGCCTTCAAAATGAATTCAAGCTGAACGGCCAGGAGTTGAGGATGGTGGACGTCAAGAAAAAGTAGGCCTAATTGATTACGGCATTAGTTCAGTACTTTAGACTCCTCGTGACGGCCGCTCAAACAGACGTCAGCCCAGCGGAAATTGTCGTATTCCGTAGCTACCAGCTGCCAAATGAAGCGCCGAAAAGCTATAAGAGCCTCGGGTCGGCGAGCGAGTTGAAGCTCTGGCAAGCTGCCAGGTGTTCGAGGTACGGTAGCTGGGACAAGGGGTTTAAAAACGGTTTGGAAAAGAGATTTGGCTCCAGTTTCCATTAGTTGCCGTTTCCCTAGGGTTCTTTCCTAACTTGCTTAATAAATTAAGGGGCGCACGATGTTTTTTCAAATTTCTTTGAAAGGCGCTAGCAAGGCATGACGATGGATTTTTGGATCCGTCCCTTTAAAACCTTTTTTTTTCAGCGCAGCCCCCACCTACTTCTCGGCCCCCCACGGCTGCTACATGGATGGCGGCCTCATTGCGAATAACCCGACCTCGGAAGTATTGTCTGATATTCAAGTGATCGATGTGTTGGGACCGAATAAGGTATCGTAACGGAATACCGTAACCCCATTTTCAGGTGAAACCGGCCGCTTTTCTGTCGTTGGGTACTGGAATTCCGCCAACTCGTCGAGTCGGCGAATCCACTCCTGATGCCGGGATCCTCGCTACGCTTATGGCCAGACTGAACGTGACGGTGGTGCACACGCTGCATATGTTGACGGAACAGGTCAGAGAGAGAGAGGATAGAGAGATAGAGAGAGAGAGTGAAAGAAAACAGTCTGTTTTCTAGATTTCTGCGGCCAACGGCGTCGTCGTCAGCCGCTCAGCCGGCTTCTGCCTAGCCATGGGTATTCCATTCTTCCGCTTCTCCCCGCCACTTGCGTTTGATATTGAACTCGATGCCCGGGATGATAAGACGCTAATCGAAATGATGTGGACGTCGAGGGTAATAAAAGAAATAGATTATTAATGTAAAGTGGTAATGTAATTTAGAAGATGATAGAGTAATTGCTCAAATGAGCTAAATTAGTTAAAGTAATTTAGTAAGGCCTGTTTCGACCCTTTGTCCAAGACAGGCAAAACATTCGCTAGGGTCGGGTCTCCTCAGTTGGAAGCCCTAGCGGACAATAAAATAGTAAAATTATATGGAAAAAGTATCTATAAGAAGGAAAATTGGTTCGGGAGTGTTAAGAAATTATATTTTGTGTTTCGGGGAAGTGGTTTTTCATTTCTTTTCTGCTTGCTACAGCCTAGTCTGCTGATTCGATTACGCTAGGTAAAGGATGGCATAGTAGCGGCGTGTAGTCTACGGGCGGGAATTATGGCAAGAGAGCTAAGAAAAGTAAAAACGGAAGGGAAATGTAGGAGTGAAAAGGTTAAAATGAAGAAGAAACTATGTAAGAATTACGAAAGTAAATGTTGAATATTTTTATGATCACAATTGTGTTTAATGCCAAGTACTGGGTATTTGGTAAAGACTTTTTTGCATAGACTAAGTAGAATAGGTTTAGGATATCCGTTATTTTGTAAGTGCGATATGAGTTGGTTAAGGTGCTTAGTAAAGGAAGTTTGTTCTGAGCATTTACGTGCTATTCTAATAATTTCTCCTTCCACGCAGCCAGGGGGCGTAGCCAGAAAAAAATTTCGGGGGGGGCCCCGAAAAAATTTTAGCGAAAAACTCAAAAAATTAACGAGAAAACAGCGCCGCAGGCGAAAAATTTTGGGAAAAGAGGCTATATAGTTCTACAAATAGCAGTAAAAGTGAAAAAATAGCGCCGCAGGCAGCAAAATTTTTGAGAAAATAAAAATCATAAGGGTCCCCCCTTATGAAATTTTCGGGCCCCGGCCGATTTCGGGGGGGGCCCCGGGCCCCCGGGGCCTGTATTACGCTACGTCCCTGCACGCAGCCATGTTTTATAGCATATGAGATATTAGATCGATAATTAGGAAGGCGTGTAACCTTAAATTTGTAGTCATCAACCTTATTGTAAAGTTCCGTATGAATTTTATTGTTAACATTGAAGATTCTGAGGTCTAGAAAGTTACCACTTTTGTTATCTACGTTAGTTTGCTCTAAAGTTAATTCGATAGGGTAAATTTCCGACAAGAATTCTTCAATATTAACACCATTTTTATATAGAATGAGTATATCATCCATATATCTATGTCCAATAACATTGTTAGTAGCATTATCTTTAAGATATATGTATTCGTAATAAGTTAATGTTAGATCTGCAATCATTGGGCTACAGTTTTGCCCTTGTGGTATGCCTTGTTTTTGCTGGAATAATAGTTTTTTTATAGGTAACAAAACTATTATTTAGGATATAATTGACCAAATAAATTATTTCTTTCTTACCATAGATATCATCACCGTTTGATTCATTAGTATAATAACATGACTTGTAGCCTAATTTTATAAAACTTTTATGAGCATTATTGAAACATATTTCTATTATTCCATTAATTGCTCTGGTAACGATATCGTGTGGCAAGTTAGTAAATAGGCTACTAAAGTCTGCTATATAGATATTATTTTTATCTCGATTATCTAGCAAGCTAACTTGGTTAGAATTGTCTATAGACCAATATACTGTTTTGTTAGTATTATTTGCTATCACATGACAATATCTTTGAAAATGTTGTCTAATAAATTTCAATAATCGATGTAGGTTAATGGAAATAGGTTTTATCGAACTATTATAGGCGCCAGTAATATATCTGAATTTTATAGGATTTTTGTGGAATTTTGGTATCCCGTATATCTTTGGTAGAATTGGCTTTTCGGGAAGATTAATTTTAAACAAATGATGTGTATCAATATGCCGTTTAATTATCTCTGTTTGATTTTCGGTATTATAGGGGATGTAGGTGATGTTACCACTGGGTTGGCCGTTTTGTATTCCCATCTCTTTATCAATGAATTGTTGATAAAGATAAGGGCATATTATCGCAAAGTTAGAAGTAGCTTTATCTACACTTGTTATGATAAAATTACTTTGTAACACACGTAACTCCTTCCAGTTTAATGTGGTAGTGACAGTTTTTGAGCATTGCGAATAAATTTTCTCAATAATATCGCTACCTATAGTCTCGATAAACCGATTTTTGGTAATTTTAGCAATTTCTTTGGCAAAATTTTTGGTTAATTTGATGGATTTCCTATCAGATGGACAGATATTAGGACGAAACTTGGTACCTAATTGGAGTAAGGTAGAGGTATCTGGGAAATATTGAGCTAACGAGGTGCTATCTCCAGTAAGAACATGTTTTTGGCTGCCGTATTCTATTGTATTTTTGTTATTTTGGTATTTATAACAATGTCGGCAGAGGGGTGTGTTATGGCTATCACTAGAATTGTTAAGCTGATTCAGGTATTTGTTATAGTTAAATAGCATTTGTCCTAGATTAGGTCCAAATTGATAGGTAATTTGAAAGTCATTATTAAATTCAAATTTTTGATTAATCAAATAGTTGTTGATAATTTTTTTGCAATTAATTTTTCTCAATACTAGGGTCAAAATATGGTATTTTTAGACGTATCTTAGGATATTTTTGTGGGATTTGACCGTATTTTTAGGTTTTTGGAATTTATGAATTGTAGCTGTAGCTAGTGCTTTGACTATTGGATTATGATGTTCCAAGTATGGAGTTAATTTTGAGTATAATTTTTAGGTAAATTATGGGTAAGGTTTCTAATATCGCTTGGGCATAATTCGGTAATTTTATATTGATTAAAGTCAAAGCTGTAATTTTTATTTTTGTTTTTATTTTTTCTAGTACCCCTGTTACGGGGTGGTGGTTTGATTTTAAGCGAAAAATATGGTGATTGATTAGTGAATTTTCCATTAGGATTGGAAATAACTCCGTACCCTTTAATTTTATCGTTAAGTCCGAACGGATATGCGGTGTTTAGAAGTTTAATCCAATACAATTCTTTATCAGTTCGAATTTGATTATCCTCATTTTCAGCATGATCATCCAAAATATGTATGTAGAACATATTATCAGGCCGTCCATTAGGAAAATGGGTTCGATAATGTTCATACATAAATCCAGATTTTTTGCTTTTAATAGAGTATTTATGACCACACATACGCTGAGTGACTTTTCGTGAGGTTTCTCCAACATATTGTAGATTACAAATCTTGCAAGTGAGACAATAAACCACGTATCTAGTTTGACAATTAGGGTAATTGTATTGGTTAGTTCGTGTGTAATAGTTAGTAGAGTTACTATGTATAATAGCTTCACATTCTAGATCTTTACAAGTAGAACAGTTGCGTCTATTACACCTAGTACCTACGTTTTCACTATATTCTTTATCGATAAAATTCATTTTTCTACCAACTTTAGTTGCTAAGTGCTCAATTTGCCCGAAATAAGGAATACCAGAAAAAGATTGAGATGTATGAGCACGTCTGAGTATACCAATGGGGTCCGACGTTAGAATACCCAATGGTTTGGTCGTAATTTACGCTTCATCAGCGCCGAGCTAGGAGGCATACGATTCCCAGCGAGATGGCCGTAACAGCAAGGCGGTTGTCCAACGACCTGAACGTATGCCGACAACCTCTTAAACCAGTTCACGTCACGGCGAATTAGTAAAGTGTAATAGAAAAATTTCGCTTCTGGCTGGTACTATAATGGTAAGTGTTTTGGGAAAGAAATAAGCTAAAATCATTCTGAAATAATGTTTTGGTAGTCGGCTTAATGAGTGTTTTGGGAATGTTAGGTTGATAGAGATTAAACTAAAAGAGCTCGATTGTTTGCGGGCGTAATTAGAAGGATGGTAGTAAGAAGTATAAAAGTAAATATAGATAAAGAATACTATTTTGTGTAAATAAAAGTAAAATAGTGGTTTTGTATAGAATAAATAGAAATAAAAAAGGTGGATGAATATACCCCGAAGGGTTAAGCTCCAGGGGAGCAGAGAAGAAAAGAATAACCCCGAAGGGCAAATGCTCCGAAGAGCGGGTAAACCCCGAAGGGCAGTGCTCCGAAGAGCGGGTAAACCCCGAAGGGCAGTGCTCCGAAGAGCGGGTAAACCCCGAAGGGCGGTGCTCCAACGAGCGGGTAAACCCCGAAGGGCGGTGCTCCGAAGAGCGGGTAAACCCCGAAGGGCGGTGCTCCAACGAGCGGGTAAACCCCGAAGGGCGGTGCTCCGAAGAGCGGGTAAACCCCGAAGGGCGGTGCTCCAACGAGCGGGTAAACCCCGAAGGGCGGTGCTCCGAAGAGCGGGTAAACCCCGAAGGGCGGTGCTCCAACGAGCGGGTAAACCCCGAAGGGCGGTGCTCCGAAGAGCGGGTGCTCAGAAAGAGCGAATTAGGAAAAGAAAGAGGAGTTGTAATAGAGAAAGGACTAGGTAAAAACAGAAGAAAGAAGTAAATAGATAGGAGAAAGTATAGTCGAAAAGAATAGGTACACAATTCTTGACCCAAGTATGGGTTGCCCCTACACTATAGGTAAGAAAAGGCAATAAAAATAAAAGAAATAGATTATTAATGTAAAGTGGTAATGTAATTTAGAAGATGATAGAGTAATTGCTCAAATGAGCTAAATTAGTTAAAGTAATTTAGTAAGGCCTGTTTCGACCCTTTGTCCAAGACAGGCAAAACATTCGCTAGGGTCGGGTCTCCTCAGTTGGAAGCCCTAGCGGACAATAAAATAGTAAAATTATATGGAAAAAGTATCTATAAGAAGGAAAATTGGTTCGGGAGTGTTAAGAAATTATATTTTGTGTTTCGGGGAAGTGGTTTTTCATTTCTTTTCTGCTTGCTACAGCCTAGTCTGCTGATTCGATTACGCTAGGTAAAGGATGGCATAGTAGCGGCGTGTAGTCTACGGGCGGGAATTATGGCAAGAGAGCTAAGAAAAGTAAAAACGGAAGGGAAATGTAGTAGTGAAAAGGTTAAAATGAAGAAGAAACTATGTAAGAATTACGAAAGTAAATGTTGAATATTTTTATGATCACAATTGTGTTTAATGCCAAGTACTGGGTATTTGGTAAAGACTTTTTGCATAGACTAAGTAGAATAGGTTTAGGATATCCGTTATTTTGTAAGTGCGATATGAGTTGGTTAAGGTGCTTAGTAAAGGAAGTTTGTTCTGAGCATTTACGTGCTATTCTAATAATTTCTCCTTCCACGCAGCCATGTTTTATAGCATATGAGATATTAGATCGATAATTAGGAAGGCGTGTAACCTTAAATTTGTAGTCATCAACCTTATTGTAAAGTTCCGTATGAATTTTATTGTTAACATTGAAGATTCTGAGGTCTAGAAAGTTACCACTTTTGTTATCTACGTTAGTTTGCTCTAAAGTTAATTCGATAGGGTAAATTTCCGACAAGAATTCTTCAATATTAACACCATTTTTATATAGAATGAGTATATCATCCATATATCTATGTCCAATAACATTGTTAGTAGCATTATCTTTAAGATATATGTATTCGTAATAAGTTAATGTTAGATCTGCAATCATTGGGCTACAGTTTTGCCCTTGTGGTATGCCTTGTTTTTGCTGGAATAATAGTTTTTTATAGGTAACAAAACTATTATTTAGGATATAATTGACCAAATAAATTATTTCTTTCTTACCATAGATATCATCACCGTTTGATTCATTAGTATAATAACATGACTTGTAGCCTAATTTTATAAAACTTTTATGAGCATTATTGAAACATATTTCTATTATTCCATTAATTGCTCTGGTAACGATATCGTGTGGCAAGTTAGTAAATAGGCTACTAAAGTCTGCTATATAGATATTATTTTTATCTCGATTATCTAGCAAGCTAACTTGGTTAGAATTGTCTATAGACCAATATACTGTTTTGTTAGTATTATTTGCTATCACATGACAATATCTTTGAAAATGTTGTCTAATAAATTTCAATAATCGATGTAGGTTAATGGAAATAGGTTTTATCGAACTATTATAGGCGCCAGTAATATATCTGAATTTTATAGGATTTTTGTGGAATTTTGGTATCCCGTATATCTTTGGTAGAATTGGCTTTTCGGGAAGATTAATTTTAAACAAATGATGTGTATCAATATGCCGTTTAATTATCTCTGTTTGATTTTCGGTATTATAGGGGATGTAGGTGATGTTACCACTGGGTTGGCCGTTTTGTATTCCCATCTCTTTATCAATGAATTGTTGATAAAGATAAGGGCATATTATCGCAAAGTTAGAAGTAGCTTTATCTACACTTGTTATGATAAAATTACTTTGTAACACACGTAACTCCTTCCAGTTTAATGTGGTAGTGACAGTTTTTGAGCATTGCGAATAAATTTTCTCAATAATATCGCTACCTATAGTCTCGATAAACCGATTTTTGGTAATTTTAGCAATTTCTTTGGCAAAATTTTGGTTAATTTGATGGATTTCCCTATCAGATGGACAGATATTAGGACGAAACTTGGTACCTAATTGGAGTAAGGTAGAGGTATCTGGGAAATATTGAGCTAACGAGGTGCTATCTCCAGTAAGAACATGTTTTTGGCTGCCGTATTCTATTGTATTTTTGTTATTTTGGTATTTATAACAATGTCGGCAGAGGGGTGTGTTATGGCTATCACTAGAATTGTTAAGCTGATTCAGGTATTTGTTATAGTTAAATAGCATTTGTCCTAGATTAGGTCCAAATTGATAGGTAATTTGAAAGTCATTATTAAATTCAAATTTTTGATTAATCAAATAGTTGTTGATAATTTTTTTGCAATTAATTTTCTCAATACTAGGGTCAAAATATGGTATTTTTAGACGTATCTTAGGATATTTTTTGTGGGATTTGACCGTATTTTTAGGTTTTTGGAATTTATGAATTGTAGCTGTAGCTAGTGCTTTGACTATTGGATTATGATGTTCCAAGTATGGAGTTAATTTTGAGTATAATTTTTTAGGTAAATTATGGGTAAGGTTTCTAATATCGCTTGGGCATAATTCGGTAATTTTATATTGATTAAAGTCAAAGCTGTAATTTTTATTTTTGTTTTTATTTTTTCTAGTACCCCTGTTACGGGGTGGTGGTTTGATTTTAAGCGAAAAATATGGTGATTGATTAGTGAATTTTCCATTAGGATTGGAAATAACTCCGTACCCTTTAATTTTATCGTTAAGTCCGAACGGATATGCGGTGTTTAGAAGTTTAATCCAATACCAAGCTTTTAGTTTGAGTGAGAGAGTGAGAGAGCGAGAGAGTCAGATAGAAATAGCTAGAGTCCTAGATTTCTCAAAACACCTTAATCTGCTTTTTTAGAACTACATCAACACTCACCCCGATCTGAAGAAGCTCGTCGAATATATGCAAAAATGAGCAACCACCATATCACCAACTTCTTTTTCGCTTTTCTCACTTGCCATTTAATCCATTATACCGTGTGATATATTCATTTTTAACTAGCTTCTGTGATACTGTGTATACCCCCATCTAGCCAGAGCGTAATAATAAAGTTTTTTGCTTACTTTTTGCCTTCGATTCGCATCAGAACCTTTAGGCGCCAAAAATTAGTAGGTGTATTTTGAACAGGTCCTGAGGGGATAAAATTTTCGAAATGTTCTGAAACTTTTCGAAATTTTTGAGCCATGATTTTAACTTCTCTAATTACATTTTTGGCGGTCAGAATATCGGTTCTCCGATATGCTACTCGCATTCGCAACGCCACATTTGAACATCGCTTCGCAACGATAAGGTGCGAATTAAAATTCTGGCCGCAACTTTATTCAAAGGTAAGCTCACACGAAACGTCTCACTTTACGTTCAAGATATTCGGGCAGCCAGAGACAGCTCGGGTCAAAATCGGCGCGGGCTGCAACGTGTATCGTCATGCGGTGGCCGTCGCGGGCGACGACCAGCTCGGCTCCATCCCCTCGTCGGATGCGGTAAAGGGCGACGTTGTAGTCGGAGATCACGAGTTTTGGGTAGTTTTCGAGGAACTCAAGATGCAGCCCGCCGTCGAGATTGTTGTTCCAAGTCGCAGCGATGGTGCTGACTTTGCGCTCGCCGCGGCGCCATTCTTCGACAATCATTTCGGTGTAATCGCGAGAAGCGCGTCTTCCAGTCACCCTGAGCTTGATGTTTGGCACCTGCAGCCTCAAGTAATCCGATTGATTGGCTTGGATGCATAGGGATAGGTGGTTGACGGATGTCTGCAGCCATTCTGCCACTTCCGGACACAACGGACTCCCTGGCCGCAGAAACCCCACGGATTCGTAGTTTCCGGTTGGCTTGTGGCGCTGCAGGGGCGGCAGGGTGACGACCCTAGCATCGATATGCAATTGTTCCCCACATAGGTTGATGTCTTGAGGAACCGCGACTCCTGGATGTAGTACGAGACGACTTACAGTAGCGTTGTGGAACAACACCCGCAACGTGCTCATGCTGCGGATCCTTTTTTTGGGGTCCCCCAGGCAATACCCATCGACGGGGCGCATCGCTACTTCCGCTGATTTGTACCAGAGCTCCACATGCCAAAATTTGCGGCAGTCCTTGGCAATTTCGAACGTGTTCTTCGTTGTGTGGGCCGTCCGGAAGAAGCTTTCGATGTCCATATAGCGGAAGATGTGGTGTTGGACAGTGATGGGCAACGCGGCGAAGCTCATGATCTGGAATTTTAAGGATATCTGAATAAAGTTGGCCACGAAATATGCAAAAATGCTTGAAAAAAAGCGCTAAAAATCCTAAATTGGCTAAAATTCGACATTAAATGAAAGGTTACGTCATTTTTTGGACGCTACAATGGACTTTGAGAGAGAGCGATAGAGAAAGAGAGAGAGAGAGAGAGAGAGAGAGAGAGAGAGAGAGAGAGAGAAAGGGAGCGAGAGAGGGAGAGATTCCAAACGAAAATTTTGTAAGCTTATTATAGATCATAGATCGTGCTATTTTCGTATTACGTCGAAGTCGACCTGAAAAGTTGCATACAAGAAGGGTCCGGGTAATTACGCGCCAACCTAGAGGACAGATGCGGCCATCCGCCTGTTTGGCCCTAAAGAATTATCAACGTGATCATGTCAACTGACTTATCACCATACCCCGCGGATATTTTCATCGGTGTGTCGTTGACGGACAGAGGGAGGGGTTAGATGGGAAAGAGACAACGAGAGAGCGAGAAAGAACGAGAGAGACAGAGAGAGAGAGAGAGAGAGAGAGAGAGAGAGAGAGAGCGAGATCTAAGGATTGAAATGTAAAAGCGAGATAGCCAGATTTTGACGAATGCAAAAAATTTTCCACCTCTGCTTTTTCGTGTAATATACTATGGGGAATTTAAGCCAGGAAAGAGTCGAAAATCTTTATTCAGGCCCACAGCTAAAATATCTAATTTTAGCTTCAACATCTTCTCCGGGTATCAGGGCCTCGTCAGGTGTTGTGATCAATATTTTGCACATCGAGGTATAGGTCCGAGCCACTATCAGCACTCTACCATCAGTCCGTCGGATACGGTAGAATACGTTATCGTAGTCGGGTAGTTCAAGCTTTGGAAAATTTTCGAAAAAGGCAAGTTGTCCTGCATCATCCTGATCATTCTCCGATCCCACATCGATCGCAGTTATTTCCCGCTCTCCTCGTAGCCATTCTTCCACTACCCATCGTGCGTATATCCCCGCAGACATTGCGTAGAATTGCAGCCACATCTTTGGCACCTTCATTTGTATGAATTCCTCTTCGTGATCCGGAAGCCATACGGTGAGGAATTCCACGGAGGAGTTTATAAACTCCACGACATCTGGAGAAACTGGCTTTCTGAGGCAGTGCAATGCCACTTGGTCGTAGCTTCTGCCGGTCGGCTTATGGCGCAGCAGATCCTCCAAAGTAGCCTCCACATCGTTGATGTATAATCTCATACATCGGACGTTGTAACCGGTAGGTAGTTGGGCTTTTAGCCGATTGACGGTAGAATTTTCAAAGAGCAGCCTGAAGGTGTTGTCCTGTAATTTTTCAAGATCCGGAAATGTCAGCAGATCGAAGGGGGCGACTCCATGCCATAGCGTTTTCCAGTCGTACCGGATGTCGACGTCCCAAAATTTGTTTTTGCAGCTCTTGGCCATCTCCAGCATGGCCTTGCTCGTTATGGCTGTTGTGAAGAAGCTGTTGATGTTCATGTTGCGGAGGATTTGGTGTTGGACTTCGATCGGGAGGGCGGTGAAGTCCATGGTCTGAAATGGAATGGTATTTCGATCGAGATGGTCGTATTTGAGAGAGATAGAGAGAGAGAGAGAGAGAGAGAGAGTGCGAGAGAAGCGAGACAGAGATAGCGAGAAAAGCGTGACAGAGATAGAGGGAGAGAGCCCAAAGACCCCATTTGGCCTCTAGGCAAAGCAAAACAAGATATGTACTGCAGATTTACGCCGGAAGAACTGGCGTTGCGACAGATGGCGACCTCGTTTTCGTTCAAAAATGGGACAGCAAAAAAGATTACCCTGTGTAGGTGTTAGCCAATTTATCTGCGTAGCCCACGGATATCTTTGATCCCTCGGAAACGTCAACTATTTTACCTATCAACCAGATATAGCATAGCTAAAATATTAATTACATCAAAGAGGTGGAAAACATATTCATTTTAATAAACCTAATCCTAAAACATAATTAAAATACACATTAATGACATTTATACCCCAATTAAATTTAAAATGACCCGTGGTACAAAACACTACAGTTTGCCCTCACTATCTGTGGTACGATCGTCAATCTGTCGACAAACTGCAATTGGTTCAAAACAAAATCTCATCTCATAACTACTTATAAAAATAAAATACTACAGGGGAATGAAAGTGTAATAAATTTAATACAATATTAAATCATATACATCAATACATTCTTCTAGTTACCATAAATATCCCAAATTAATATAATTCTATAGCGGTTCCCTACTGAGGAGTCCTTGCCGCTAACTTATGCTCGTCTAAGTTAAAAGGAGAAGGAAAAGGAAATTAGCTGCCCCATTATTCCTTCTACTCATTAGCCTATGCAGACAACTCGGGTTAACCGTAAGGTTAAGTTTCGTGGTTCTTCGGAACCAAACCCCTCGCTTTTTAGGTTCACTTGTGCGCTTAGTTGGTTCTCTGATTTGCCATTCAACTTCAGTTGTGGGGTTCTGGGTCCGAGTGACCCTTACTACCAGGTTCACCTGGTTTTACTTTATTACTCTTCTTCTTATCTAACTCTGTTAAGAGTTATTTATTCATTCTTATACTTTTCTATCCCAAGTCAGGGAAGGAGAGAGAGAGAGAGAGAGAGAGAACGGGAGAGAAAAGCGAGACAGCCTGATATCAAGGCTGTAGGAGCGAGAGAGAAAGAGAGACACAGTGAACCTAAAGACCTTCCAATTTTTCGCTTTGGATTTTCTGATTTGCTGTTGTTATTTTAATGAATAGTCACATCACTTTATTCAATCACTGCCGTACACAAAACTTGTTATTTCTCGTCGAACAGCATCACTGACGATGTACACCCGGTCGGGGGTAGCGACCTGAGCCCACCCGCCATAGTCATTGTCGAGCCTCACGATCAGCACTTCCCCATCAATCCGTGTGATCCGGTAATATACATTTCTATATTCTGGCAGCTCGAGTCTCGGGTAGTTTTCGAAGAATTCAGGACGAAAACCGTCATCCAGGACACTGAACGCTGCAACGATGACAGAGCGGACTTGGCGATTACCTTGAAGCCATTCAGCAACCACGAATTTTGCGTATTCGTCTATACGTGTGTCGTTATCGGGTTTTAGGTCTATCCAAATGGTTGGCACCTTCAGCCCCAAGTATTCCCATTCGAGCGTCGGGGAACATACTGTGATGGAATCGACGGATGAATTCAGGAACTCGACGAGTTCTGGAGAAATCGAGCCCACCGGCTCGACCAATTTGACGCTTTCGTAATTTCCGCGTGGTTTGTAGCGTTTCAGAACCGGCAGTGCAATGTCGTCGCCGTGAACAGATATTTTTTTGCTACGCAGGTCAATGTCGAGAGGCATGTGAGCTCCTAGCCGATAACCCCGGATCGTGGCATTGTGGAAGAGAAAGCCCCAACGGATAATACATAACTTCTCATGCCATGTTCTTCGCCAGTCGTAATCGAGATAAACATCCCAATTTTTGTCACGACAGCTCTTTGCCAACTTCCAAATCGTCTTGGACGTTATGGCCGTCTTGCAGAAGGTTTTGATGTCCATGCTTTGGAGGATGCGGTGCTGGACTCTCTGGGGAAACGCGGTGAAATCCATGTTCTGAAAAGTAATTTTTTTTTTTGCTAAACAGAAAGACACGGAGAGAGAGAGAGAGAGAGAGAGAGAGAGAGAGAGAGAGAGAGAGAGAGAGAGAGAGAGAGAGAGAGAAAGAGAGAGAGAAAGAGAGAGAGAGAAAAGAGAGAGAGAGAGAGAGAGAGAGATAGAGAAAGCGAATAACAGGAATAGAACCAATAATATAAATTAAACCGACCATATCTGCCTTTTCGTCCACTTCCGGTTGCTCGAAGCCTTGCTTTCCCTGAAAATTCCCTATTAACGCCAGACAACCCACAATTTTGATAGACGACTGGTATTTCTGGTTTTTAAAAACCACGACCGAAGCTTTTATGAAAATGTACGTCGAAGCTACCTCGTTCGGACTTGTTGGGTGCGCTGGGATGTTAAGGAAGCCCAGGTTCGTAAGTAACTTAGCAAAACGGCCGTAAATGGCCGTCTTGCAGAAGACTTTCATGTAAATTATGGCTTGGAGGATGTGATGTTGGAGCAACTGATGAAACTCGGTGAAATCCATGTTCTGAAATGTAATGGTAATTAGGTGAAAATCTTCGCGAAAAAAATGGTGAGGAAGCGGCCGTTCAAGGTTGAGTATCTTCAACACAATTGCTAAATATGGCGGAGACAAGAGAGAGAGAGAGAGAGAGAGAGAGAGAGAGAGAGAGAGAGAGAGAGAGAGAGAGAGAGAGAGAGAGAGATGATGAGAGAGAGGGAGCGAACAAATGAGCGAGGGAGAGTAAGCGAGCGAGGGAGAGCGAGGGAAGAGAGCTAAATCACAAAAAAACTAGTAAGAACTTTAAGGATTGTAGATAATTCGCCGCATAAAATTGAAAGGCCGGCCTGACTACACCTGGGTAAAACGATTGAAATTAATCCCGGAGAAATTATGCAAACATGCCAACGACAGATGTTATCGGTTTTTATGCAGTCTGACCCCAAAAAATGTTGCTGTGGGGCTCGAGGACATATTATTTCGAGAGAGGGAGAGAGAGAGAGAGAAACCAGAAATCAGATAATTTACTTCTTTTTATTTACAATAAATATATTTGTGGAGGTTTTGCGGCTCGTATTTGGCTGTTCCTTGACCCCCGTTGAGGTCAATTCCATGTTTTTCGGCCCTCGCAGGAAGATAATCGTCAAGATTCTGAAAACATATCCATTAGCTAGTTTGGATTTTACCGAATTTAAATTTTTAGTATAATATTAATCTCTGAAAAAAGTTGACTCACGAATTATACGGCAAGTATAGAAAAGTCCAATTTGGGCCGACCATTAATGTCGTGAGGGTGGCGAGATGAGTTCCGAGGAATATTTGGGCCAATGTTTGAAAGAATTGCGCCGCCAGGATAATGAGGATATATACGCTTGAAGCGAAAACAAGCTAAAAACTCATTAACGTATCAACTACTGTGGCGTACCATTAATGAGAGAAGCAATGTAGAATTTTTTCTACGCGGTAGATTGCCGAAATGCTAAAAAAGTTGAAAATTATTGCGAGGTTTTCTAGGAGTCTCTGCTAGCTTTTCTCCTTTCGCGTTATTTTCTTAAGAATTTCTCTTGACTAGTTCTATATCCCAGTTTCCCTAATGATCTTTGCTAGCATCCCCTTACTCCATTTTTCTAAGGATTTCTGCTAGCCTGCCCCTCACACCGATTTCCTAGAAATTTCTGCTAGTGCCCTTTACGACATTTTTTTTCTAAGAATCTCCGCTAGCCTGCCCTATACGGCGGATTCCGTAAGAATCTTTGCTAGCCTCCCGACGCGCATTTCCTTATGAATCCCTGCTAACACCCCTCATGCCGTTTCTCTAAGAATCTCTGCTAGCCTCCCACTTACGCCCCTTTCCCTAGGAATCTTTGCTGCCCTCCTTGCCTGAACATCAATTTCCCTAAGAACGCTTGCTTGCCTGCCCAAAACCTAACCTTTTTCAACTTGCGATAGGCCGCAATATCAAGCGCTGCCGTGTGAGAGATCAGCAAATCCTCGCAATACAGTATCCAGGTGCCGTATTGCAGGTTAAATTCTATGCCCAGTCGCAGTAGCAGAGCTATTGAGTACGGTAGAAATAGCTGAAGATACGGAAACTTGAGTGCCAGATGGAAATATCGTCCGTCGAAGGCGAGGGCGATGAACCGACTGCAAAATTAGCGATTTCCCGAGAATTTCAAATTTTTGATGTTTTGAATTTGCTATCATCGTGCTCGATTCGAAAGTGTCGAAATGTCAGGATGCCAATCGAAAATGCCTGCATTTCATAATGTCGAATTTCAGCAGTCGAAAATTGCTAATTTTGAAATGTCGATATGTCGAAATTCAGAATGTAGAAATTTTCATATGTGGCAATATTTTACGAAGTTCTTAGTTTTTGAGTTTTTTAGCTATTTACGGCATTCTGCATGTTGGAAATTATAGATTTTTAGATTCTGCCTCAGAAGCCAGCAGCAGCCTTGTTTTGTGATTTTTTAGCAAGCGTTTTAGATACCTGACCGGCCACACAATCTTCTTATTAGCCATCGTTAGATATACAGCTATCGGGTTGACAATTAGGGCAATTATGTAAATCTAAAAAACCGCTGAAAAACGGCGATTGTGCTTACAAAGGTGGTCGTAGTGTAGTACAACCATGTAACGTATTTCGAGAATGAGACGTTATCCAATTGCACATCACCAATTTGGTACTGTTGAAGCCATTTCGACAGTGCGTCGACGCCAAAGATTGAGCCTAAATATAAGCTCCTATAAGCCCATGTCTAAGCCTAAGCCAAGCCTAAGTCTAAGCCAGGGTAGGAAAGGCCGAAGACTTTGCTTAAGCCTAAGCCTAAGCTTATGCCCATACCGTTGCTTAAGGTATTTGTACCCTAAATTCACAAGCCTACCCAAGAATCCAGCCGTCAACAGTAGAACTTCGAAAACTTCAATGAGATGACGATAGCTTAACATTTTCTAGAGATGCTAATGGAAACTTTAGAACCGAGACCCAGTGCAAAAGTTTGTGGGAGTTCGCAGGTTAATTTGTGCGGCTGGACCCTCGTTTTCTAAACGAGTGAAAATTGGAAGGACACTGAATGGGTTCAGAGTTTAGAATGAGCTCGCTATCTGTCTGTCCGTCTGTCTCTCTCTCTCTCTCTCTCTCTCTCTCTCTCTTTCTCTCGCTGACTCTCTATATCCTCGTTCGATGATTTACTAAACTTGATTCAAAGACCTTCCACGCAAAGACGAGTTTTGATCGAGAATTGTAGATCCTGGCATGACCGTAGTTACCGTAGTCGTGTCACTTTTTGCGGGCTTCCGAAGGAAAAGTAGGCTTAGAATCCTAAAAAAGGTATTTAAGCCCTGGAAAACCTTAGTTAAGAAGCACGTAAGTAAAATCATGCTCACCCATCCCATGCCAAAAATAGAAACAACGCCAGCTGGGTGACGGCCACATTCACGAGAACTCCGATTTTAGCTCCGAGGAATATAGCCAGAACCGCTTGAAACAGTCGGGAGGCTAAGATAAGCATTAAATATACCACTGATGAGAAGAGGAGCTTAATTTTCGGCGTTTTGAAAGTTTGATAAAACTCAACCATTAAGCCGAGAGGCCGTTGCGAGCTTTGCGATTTGTGAGAGCGAGTTGTGTGCTAAAATGCGTCCAAAAATCGCTAAGAGAGGTTTATTTACCGCTTTCAATTGCCGATAGGCGAAAAAGTCTAGGGCCGCAATATGTGCGACTAGAAAATCTTCGAGATAGTCGAGCCAAGAATAGGCTCGGACGTCGAATTCGAGGAAGAGCTGCAGAAGCGCGCCGATGAGGTACGGTATTAGGAGCTGAAGATAGGGCAGTTTGAGAGCGAGCCCGAAATGGCGGCCGTTGAAGGATAGAGCGATGAAGCGCCTTGAAAAAGCGTAATACGTAATAGACAGAGAGAGAGAGAGAGAGAGAGAGAGAGAGAGAGAGAGAGAGAGTGCATGGGCATAAAAACCAACCCCAGTGACACCATATAATGTGCAATTCGAATACCATAAGGTAACGTCAATGTTAGCGTATTAACTTGAGAAGAAAAGGACATCAACCCTTCTATAAAATCTGGCCACCATCCGGTAGCCGACGTTCCTAGGCCCCTGAAGATGTCACTAGAAAATTCGATACAAAAATGAAAGCTTACTGACCTTGATATGAAGAATATCGGTTGAAAAAGACACATAAACGTACGAGCCACAGCTTCGGATATCAGAAGAAGCCTGGAAAGCACAAAGACGGGGTATACCGCATTCGATATTCCTCCTACCGTACTGGCAACACAATTTTTTGATTAACAGCGGTAACCCAGATAGCAATTGGGTTGACGATGACCGAAATTAAGTAAATCTAGAAACACGGTTTTTTTGATACGATAGCTGATTCAAAGCGCATGAAGCTCTTAAAAAATTACGTTAGCACACAACTTACAAAATCATTTGAATAAATGTATAAAGCGTTATTTATAGCCCAGAATAAACTTATTTCGATGACCACGCTTCCAACATGGATCTTCAGCAACCGCCCAAAAATATAGTTCAACAGCCAGACCGATCCTTAATTTCCTGCATCTAAAGAATTTACCAAAAAGACAAACCATAAAAGCCAATAGTCAAGCCAATAACCTGGATAATTTCGTTAAACTCATGCAGCCGGAACATTTCCGGTACTCGCAGACCGGGATTGTTTTTCGGAAAGTTGATTTTGCGTTCAAAATCACCGTGAGGCCTGAAAATTCACATGCTAATTTTCCGGCGTTTTGTGCTTGATGCGTAAATTAGGTGGAAACCCCTCTGCCGTCTCGTCTATTTTTGAAGCGTCACTTCCGGGTACTGATTTTTATGGGTATTTCTCTCGCTCTCTCTCTCTCTCTTTCTCGCTCTTCTCTCTCTCTCGCTCTTCGCTCTAGCTTTCTCTCCCTAACTTTCGCTTTATCACTCGCTCTCTCTCTCTCTCTCTCTCTCGTATTATCGTCCTTATGCGTCCACTTTATTTACAAAAGTCATATTGAAAGAAGGTTTTCGATCAATATTGGGCGGTTCTCGCGTCACTGACGTCACCGAGATGGTCTCTCTCCTTCTTGGCCGGCGTAGAAATAACATGCTTAGGATGCTAAAAACATGTCTGTTTGTTTTGTAACTAATTACTGTAAGACTGTAAGATATAGACGTCCATATATGTAAGACCTACCCATCCCATGCAAGAAATAGAAATAAAGCCAGTTGGGCGATGGCTATACTGGCGAGAGTTGCGATCTCATCTCCCAAAAATATTTGTAATATCGACTGCAAAAACCGGGCAGCAACGATGAGAAGGATGTAGATGACCGACGAGCAGACCAGCTAAATGGATCAGACTAAAAAAGCCGTGGGAAATTTTTACCATCACTCCCAGAATTTGCTGCGAGCTTCGAAAGTGCTGGGAGCGGTTGGTATGCTGAACATGCAAATTTCCACAAGCAAAATCCAAAAACTCACGGCTCTCAATTTTCGGTAGGCAAAAAAATCGAGTGCGGCGATGTGCGATATCAAAAAGTCATCAAAATATTGCAGCCACGGGATTCGGAAGATGTCGAATTCGAGGGCGACCCGTAGGAGAATGGCGATGAGATACGGTATAAGAAGCTGAAGATAAGGCCATTTCAGGGCGAGACCGAAGCGAGGCGTGCGCGTTGCGTGTCGCGGGTAGAGTTCACAGCTGCAACAAGGTAACTTTTATAAGATGTCCTTTTTTGAAAGATTAGGCTGTGGCGTTACTTTGCCTTATTCTCCACCTATTTTTATATATGGCGATGACTTTTGGAACCATTTTTGGGCCCTATTATTTGTTATGCCTAGCCAACCTAAAGAAACTAGGTCAAAATGCCGGCAAATTCAAATGCATCTGCCCGCAAGGTGTCGCCTCTGCATCTATCCTGGCTAGCAAAACTGCTTTCACACCTTTTATCTTATCGATTTAATAAGGTGTATACCTTTGTGGTTATGGCTTTTCCCTAATCCACGAGAAACGCCAGTTGCAAAATCGGATGCGTTTTTGATGTTTCTTTTCCCCTCTTATTTTTGGCCTCATGTTTTCAAAAACCTTCAAAAAGTTAATGTGAAGCAGTTCAGAAAAGCATGCCACATCATCGTTCTCGGCCAAGCGAAAACGATAGCAATAGTTGGTCGTTCTCCGATTTTTTCGACCTTCTTGCTGCGTTACTTACGACCCCGGGCGCCCTCAACATCCCAGCGCCCTCAACAAGCCCGAACGAGGTAGCGCTACTTTATGTTACAAAATTGAATTCGCCGGAACAAAATTCTAGGAGTCAAGAAGGATCAAGAAGAATTTTTAGGGAAAGCACGATTTCGAGCGGCCGGAAGTAGTGGCAGCGGCAGCGCGCAAACTTTTTTCCCCGGTCGACCTTAAGGATTCAGATTTCGTAAGTTCAACGGATGATTATTGTTTCAATTCTCTCCCCCTCTCTCTCCCCTCTCGTTCTCTCTCCCTCTCTCTTTCTCTCTCTCGCTCTCTCTCACTCTCTCTCTCTCTCTGTCTCTCTATTTCTCCTCTCTTCCTCCCTCTATCTTTATCATACAACCATGAGATAACACTTTAATTTCAGACCCTCGGGCTAATCGACGGTCTACCCCACCAAATAAAATGGTTGCTCATCACCTCCTACCTGGGCGATGACCTCCCTTCTCTGATCCAATTCTCACTGACCAGCAAAACAAACTGGCTCCTCGTCTGCAGCTGTCCCCGTCGCTTCATCGAGGTGGAATTGACATCATCTGACTGTGCGATCGCCTACCACGGCCGAAGCAAGCATTATCTTTATGACGAGCGTTTTTGGGGTCCGCTTTTCGAAGGATCCGAAGTCTCCCGTCTACGCCTAGACTATGCGAATCGTAGGCTGCCCCCACTCTATGCTGACTCCCTGGATATTGAAACCGCCGATCTGTGCACGGTCGAAATCCTCAAAAAGTATCTGCCGAAGAGCGGGAAATACCGGGAGATGCTTCTAAGCATGGAAGTTTCTGGAGATATTTCGGATGGGTTGATCCGTTTCGTGCGAGACTCCGCAGAGCAGCTAGCGTATCACATTCTAAGCCACCAGCGGTATCAGCTGTACAAGAAATCTTACAGTCGATTCCAAAACACGCGCCTGCGCTTCCGTAACGCGATTGACTGGTTTGACCATGGAGAATTGGTAACCTTCCAACGTGTTTTGATGAGGGAATGGATCAACGGTGGAAGAGAAATTGAATCGATGACGTTCTCTTTCCGCGAGCGCACAGCGCGCAACATCGCCACCTGGAAATCAACCCACAAGGGGTACGACGTCAAATATATCGAAGAGGACGTCGCTGTGATTACAGGTCCCCACCGGCGAACCCTATTTTCACGATTTGTGCAGGAAAAAGATAAGGAACAAGAAAAGCTGAAGATAAAGTGGGAAAATCACGGGCGTCGCCCGAGAAGTGTCTTCGAGGGGGCGGACAATTTTCTTTCAAGGCCGGTAAGTTCTACGTTCTCGTCTCACATTTTCTTTCTCTCTCTCTCTCTCTCTCTCTCTCTCTCTCTATCTCTCTCTCTCTCTCCCTATCCCGCTCCCTCTTTCCCTTGCTCTTCGCATTCCATTTCTCACTCAGCCCTGCTTCTCTCATCAGGGCGCCAAGCTGCGGAAGTGGAGGCTTCGGGGTTCAGACGTCGAAGATCCGTGGAGTTTTGCCCATCTCTACCCGGCACTTGATGAGACTTCAACGAAGGTATTGTCGATTGAAACATTTCTAAAAAGTTGAATAATGATATTTCAAAAAACCACACATTTGGCGGGCAACAACAACAACAAAATAGTGGGCTGTCTGGCGTTTATGTGCAACTTTTAGGAAAAGCACGACTTCGAGCGGCCGTTGGTCGACAACAAACGTTCCAATTTTGTGAGTTAAACGTTTCCATCTATTTCGCTCTCTCTTTCTCTCTCTCTCTCTCCCTCTCTCTCTATCTTCCTATCTCTCTCTCGCTGTCTCTTCCTCATACAATCATAAGAAACATACTTCAGACAATCGATTTCTTCGAAAATCTGCCCGATCCAGTCAAGCGCAAAATTATCCCCCGCCTCCTTGACGACCTCCACTCCCTCGTCCAATTCTCCCTGACCAGCAAGGCCAACTGGCAACTCATCTGTAACAGTCCACGTCGCTTCACCGAGGTTGAGCTGACTCTCTGCGGCACCTGCGCCATGGTCTTCCATCGTCGAGCCAGGCGCTGTCTCTACAACAAGCGCTTCTGGGGCCCGCTCCTTCAAGGATCCAACGTTTCGAAGTTACACTTAAAATACCCCCAGAATTTTGACCTGCCACCACTTCATGCCGATACGCTGTCTATCACATGGCTCAGCCCTTGGACCGGCGCGCAACTTGAAAAGTACAAGCCAAAGACCGGGAAATTCCAAGAAATCCTTCTAAGTAAACCCTATGCCATCCGACTTCCGATTGCTCAGGATTTCATCGATTTTATGCGGGACTCGGCTGCGTCTACCACAATCACATCTCGTTAATGCGCAAAATAAAATTTCGACGTTCTGGTTTTCGACAAGGTGAAATTACGACAAATTGAAATTCCAAAATGAATTTTTGGTGAAGTGAAATTGCGAATTTCAAGACGCAAACTCGCGCACAAAGCGAGAAAGGAAGAGAGAGAGAGAGGAGAGAGAGAGAAAGCGAGAGATAGAAAGTGATAGACAGAGCAAGATACAGAATTGTCTGAAGCACTCGAAATCACTAAACCCGTGATTTATTGGCAAGCGTAATCGTATTCTTCGCGGCTTTTCGATCGATATTTCCGGCAAATTTTGTGACGGAGGTAACTGATACCGCATCACTTTTCTTTGGTCGCCGTAGGAAGAGTAGGCTGAGGATTCTAAAAAAAGCTATGATATATTGTTCTATAATAGAAACTTAAAGGTAGAAATTTTACAAAGTTAAATATTACCCATCGTACGCCAGAAATAGGAACAGCGCCAGTTGGGTGACGCCCAGGTTTGCCAGGCTGGCGATTAAATTGCCGAGGAATATTTGGACAATAGTTTGAACTAATCGAGCAGCAATGATCAGGAAAATATAGATTACTGACGAAAAAACGAGCTGAAATTGTAGATATTCAGGGTTTAAGGGGCCCGGAGTATACAAAAACGTGCACTTTTAAAGCTCTGAAAAACTTTACTAAAACCCACCATTAATCCCAGTGGTTTCTGTGAGCTCTTGGACTTTTGCGACTTTGCCGTGTGCTAAAATCCACAAAAGTTGGTTAGTTTAACCGTACTGACTTACAGCTCTCAACTTTTCGTATGCAAAACTGTCCAAAGCCGCGATATGGGCTATTAAAAAGGGGTCAACATAGTCGAGCCACTCGACGGGGATAGTTTCGAATTCGAGGTTGACACGCAGGATCACAGCGATAAAGTACGGTATGAAGAGTTGTAGATAGGGGAAACGGAGGGCCAGCTCGAAATAGCGACCGTTGAAGGCCAGGGCGATGAAGCGTCTAGAAAAGTTGGATAAATAGAGAGAGACAGAAGGAGAGAGAGAGAGACAGAGAGATAAAGAGAGCGAGAAAGAGAAAGATAGAGAGAGAGCGAGAGAGAGACAAAGAGCGCGACAAAGAGAGAGACCCACCCGAGCGAAATAAAATAGTGTGCAATCCGAATCCCGGTAGGCAACGTAATGGTATAAGTATAGATCGCTACCGATATGCTAATAAAAGATCCTTCGACTGATAGCTCATCGCTGCTAGAGGTTAAGGAAAATCCGCTGAAATTATTCCTTACACTCCGATCCCTCCAATCGCTCTCTCTTCCGTTCACTCTCTCTCTCTCTCTCTCTCTTCCGTTCACTCTCTCTCTCTGTCTCTGTCTCTCTCTCCCCTCTCTCTCTCTCTCTCGCTCTCCCTCTTTCTCTCACTTACGCAGTGAGCAGATAGAGCAGTTGCCCCAGACACATCAGTGTACGAAATGCCGCCTCGGAAATTAGGAGCAACCTGGAATTTGCATATTCATCCGAGAAGTTGAAAAATTTCACTTACCGTATCGGCCAGGCAATTTTCTTGTTCGAAATCGTGATATAGATGGCAATTGGGTTGACGATGACTGAGATTATGTAGATCTAGAGGTATCGATTAATTTAGCTCGTAGGGAGAATTATCAGGATGTTTTCCAACACAGAGAAACTTACAAAATCCGTAGTATATGCATAGATTTTGCTATATAAATCCAAGTATTCTCCAATGTCCATCGGGATACTACTGACTTCAACTTTACGCAGTAAAAGGAAAACACGCCCCGAGAGCGCGGTGATTGCTTAAAAAAATTCTGATTTATTGTGTTTACCACACTCCATCACTCTCTCTCACTGACTCTCGTCGTAGTTACCGTAAGCAGGCTATAAAGTAAGCTTACCGTAAAAGAAAATGGTCCCCATGACGACGACGATCAATTCTCGATACTTTTGCAGAAGAGCCCACATTCCAGCAAGCGTAAAACTTGAAAAGATAGAGTGAGACAATGAGAGAGGGAGAGAGAGAGAGAGAGAGAGAGAGAGAGAGAGAGAGAGCTAGGAGAGCTCAAGAAGACTTGTTCCTCAACCACACAAAAGCTTGAGTGCCGCAAAAAGATGCGTCGGCCCGAGCACTAATCGAAGCTAGGTCTAAAGTTCAACAAGTTATCCCGTCGGGAAAGAAAGTGTTTGTTGCGAAAAAGCAGGGAACAGCGAAAATTTGCTGATTCGATTCCGTCAGGCCATGGTTCCCGTTGATGGGAATCTGCGATCGGTTTAGGAGTTAGTTCGCACGTTAATTGGGCTGGAGAATTGGCTAATATATCAAAAACCTTTTTGATATATTAGCCAATTCTTTTGAACTTTTTTTTTGGGGAACTTTTGAAATTAATTATTTTACGAGCAGAATGAGGAAAAATTATCTATCACCCTCCGTTCTCGCACGATCTCCGTTTCTGTCTCTCTTTCTCTCTCTCTCTCTCTCTCACTCTCGCTGTAACCCCCTTTCACTGTTGAGAGTGTGTTAGCAGTAATATAGATGATAGTGTAGGTTAGATAATATTTATTTACAATATGAAAACTGTTTCAAAGGACATCTCCGGTTTTTAAAGGCCCCTAGGAGTCACGACGCCGTGTCGACCCCCTTTGATTTTCGTAGAAACATCATTGTAAGAAGCCTAAAAATTGATGCCAATCATTTCTATCCATTTTTGCCTACCCGTCATAGCCTAAAAATCAGAAGAGTGCAAACTGCATGACAAGAATATTGACAATACCGGCTATGTTAGAGCTAGTTATATACTTGCAGAATAGTTTGGGTGAGACGAATGCAGCTACTCTCTCTCTCTCTCTCTCTCTCTCTCTCTCTCTCTCTCTCTCTCTCTTTCTTTCTTTTTTGGAAAGCTCGTACTTATTGATTACTACTTGCCTTACCTGCAAAAAATGCTCAGCAAACGCAAAAAGTTAATCCCAGCTTCTATATTTGCTTGGGAATCACTTAAAATCCGCTGTCAACCCTGGCTGGTTACCGATGGACAAACCTCGCCAAATTAGTCAGTGCTCGTAGCGTAGTTTTCTCACCGTGCCAATCTGCATGGAGTCGATTGATTTGTGAAAAGCAAAAATCGGTTAGGCTTGCTTGGTTGGTCGAGGATTTTTGAGGAAAAATCTATTTGGGACGATGGAAATTTATCTTATTGCTTGCCCAACAACAGAAATTGTAAGATTTGGAGATCTTGGGCTTCTGGGTGATTCTCGAGGTCTTCCCGTAGTTGTGGATTGTAGTTCACTTTTCTTTGGTTTCCGCAGGAAAACGATGGCCAGGATACTTAAAAATTGAAAATTTGCAGCTTATATGTATGTATGTACTTTATAGCTTATAGCTGATATTTTGTGAGTTTGGGTTTAGAGTGCTGTTTTGTAGTCTGGTTTGTAGCTTGTCGTTTATAGCTTGGCCTTTGTATTTTGTAGCTTATCGTTTGTAGCTTGTAGCCTGCATTTTGTAGATTGTAGCTGGCTTTTGGAAGTATGTAGTTTGTGCTTCGTGTCTTTGGTCTGTAGTTTATTGTTTTTAGCTTGTAGTTGGTCGGTGTAGACTGTATTTTGTAGGAACTTACCCATTATATGCCAGAAATATAAACAAATCCAGCTGATTTAGCAAGACCTCTCCTAGCGATGCGATCTGTGGACCACAAAATACGTCCAAGATCGATTGGAGAAGCTGGGCTGCCAGGATGACGAGAACGTAAAATACGGAAGAAAATAAGAGCTGAAAAAAAGTAGTAGCAGACTATGGTAGTTCTGTTAAATATACTTACAATTAAACCACATTATTTCGAAGAGTTAATGGGGAAAACTGACCATTAGCCCGAGCAGCATCTGGGAGTTCTTCGGTTTGCTGGCCTTTGAGGCGTGCTAAAAATAACCGAAGTTTTGTCTGCTTTAATATTTGTAATTTTTAACGGATACAGCAATCGTTAAAAAATGCAAAACTTGATAAAATAAATTATTTTCAAAGTTTCGATAATTGTTGTAATCCTCGTTCAAATATTTTGGTTTTCTGGCCATTACAGTGCGCTAAAAACGTCCTCTGCTGCTACGTAATTTGATTCTGACCGTTTTTAATGACTATGGTATTCAAAAACCTCACATTTGGTCAGGTACGGTAACTGCAAAATGTAATATATGCGTCTAAAACCTGCCACTTGCAATTTCCGATATGCACAAATATCCAACGCGGCTGTCAGCGACACCACAAAATCGTCAGCATACAGTAACGATTCACTGTAGTCGATTTTTAATGCTAAGCCAATCCACAGTGCAAACGCAATCGAATACGGTATGATAAGCTGCAGATACGGTAGTTGGAGCACCAGATGAAAATACCGGCCATTAAAGGAGAGCGCGACAAAGCGGCTAGAAAACAGATTTTAAAGGTTTAAAGCATCGTAACTACCCGAATGATATAATATACTGAGCAAGCCGGATTCCAAAGGGTACGGTAGCCGTGTAGCCATAGAGTATTGCACCAATATCGATTAATCTCTTCACCGCATTGAGCAACCAAAGATTTCCGGACGGCAGAAGGTATTTAAAAAGCACGCTGAAAGATTTGGCTTTTGCTTTAAAGCATCATTCAAGTCAAAAACCCGCAGAACTTACATCCCCATCCAAAATGTCGATTGACAAATGCAAATAATCGTACGAGCGATACCTTCGGAAATTAGGAGAAGCCTAGAATTATCGTAATAACGGAGGCAATTTAAGCAAGCCAATAAATACGCTTTCAAAATATTTTTCAGTTACTGAGAAACGCACCTTACCGGCCAGGCAACTTTTTTATTTCCCGCTGTAAGGTAGATAGCTATCGGATTGATGAGCAAGGCGGCCAGAAAAATCTGAATCCTACCTTATATAATTTTGGCGTTTATCTTTGAGGGCGGATTTGTGGGGCTTCCCGTGGATAAATGCCCTAGTTCTCCGTCATCCGGTGGAATCAACACTTCTTTTTCCCAATGGCGTTCTCAAAATTTCGATAAAATACAAGCTTACAGAGTTAAAGCCGGTTTTATTCATTTTCGGGTAGCTGAGCGCTAATTTGCAGAATGTAAAATAATAGAAATGCCCCCATTCTTGTGAGTTGCACGCGCGCGTGTGGTCGGTGGGGGGGGGGGGGGGGGTCCGCAGGACACGAGCTATCGGAAAGTCAAATTTCTCATGCAGAGGCCGCAATTTAGCGCCCAGGGTCCGCGAAGCGGGTTTTGGGCGCTGGTTAAAGATATAAGTCGATTAACTAAATATTTCAGTTAGTTGAACGGCATAAAACGGTAACAACCAAATATTCAGTTCACCCCCACCAGAGCTGGCCATTTCGGACCCGGGTCGGACCCCACCCGCACCCGTTCCCGGACCCAGACCCACCCGGACCCGCATAAATTTGCATGCGTGTCGGGTCGTCCAATAACCAAGAATAACGAATTTCTCAATTCCTCTACAGGGTGTCCCAAAAAAAAGCACCCCTCCGGCATTTCGCCGTATTACATCCCAACAGTCCCAAAATTGGACGGGAGGTGTATCAGACCCTAAATAACCACAATCCTGAGTTATAGCCCGATCGCTACAGTAGTTTTCAAGTTATCGTCAAAATACTGTTTTTTACGCGATCCTTAACAATTTTTTCGGCTATCTTTTTTGCACTTTGCATTGATTTACATCGACTTCCGGCTGCGAATCGGATGTAATACGGCGAAATGCCGGAGGGGTGCTTTTTTATGGGACACCCTGTAAATCCCACCAGGCTCGTCACGCCCAGGTCCAGGACATTCACAAAATCCACAACAGCTGAGCGATCCACCGTTATCCTCGCAACTTCATATCCGCGAAACCAATCGGAAAATAGTTCAGTAAGAAATATAGATCCTAGAACTATAGTTTTCATTTTTAAGACGATTTTCATACCAAAAAACGCGGAAGTGAGCAGCAAGACTTCAAAGATCTCGCGGAAATGTTTGGCCCGCGGCATCGGTTAATGTAAATATGGACAGAGCGGAATTCTCATAATTCGCAACGGATCCCATGAAAGTTTTGGTAATAAGGCTGGTGGGGCTGTTACCGCGAATGATGGTCAATTTTGCGTGGGAGTTTTAGGGAGTACATGGTGAGTTTCTTTTCGTCAAGCGGAAGTGGGGAAGCATGGAAACTTAGAACGGCATCAAAGTCGAGGATGGATGGCAGCCGCGCTGCAGATATTTACGTGCATTTTTCAATTTTTAGTAAAGTTCCTACAACCGACCATGCTCAGATTACCAGATCCGTTCTGCACCAATTTACGGCAGCGGAATAATAATTTTCAGGCCTTTTTTACAAGGATTTGGAAAGACGAGAACTGCAACGACACGACGCTCCAACTAGCTTTTACGCTCAGCGCAGATCGCTTGCTAGAATCTTCCGTAGGAACCACATACAAAGCGTTGTTTCGCACGTCGTTAGGTGTGGCGCGTAGCTGTCCAGACCTAGCCACCCCGGGTGTCGATTTTTTTCCGACCACAGTCGGTTTAGGAACCTTTGTAACCGTCGTGAGGGATTACAGGATAGGGACTGCAGTGCTATACACGTTTAATACTATTTCTTGTTATATCTTCTTTTCCGCAGCTCTATACATGCCTAGCAATGCCTTGCCGATCCCTTTAAAGCTGTCGACACCATAATCCAAACATTATTAACTCTTTATTATCTTGCACTATGCGTCGGGGATCCCCTGATGGTACTTGAGTGCTCCTGCACTGTATTAATCGTCATTTCCTGCTGCTTCGGCCGGCGTAGGAAGATGATAGAGAGGATTCTAAACATCATATTCCTTGAGGCTACGCTACGCTCCAGCTTACGCATTGTATGGTAGAAATAAAAATAGAGCAATTTGACCGATGGCCAGCCCGGCCAGCAAGGCGAGTTGTGGACCAAGGAAGATGTGAATTAAGATGCGGAGGGCTTGGGAGAGTAGTGAGACGGAAATGTATGAGCCGGAAGACCAGAGGAGCTAAAAATAAGGACAAATCTATTGGGAGGACAAATCTGATCGATATTCAACAAACTCTGCTGTCACTACCCATTAAAAGCCCTAAAAACGTAAAAATGATACCATTTTTGCCAAAAACATTGGCGATTTCGTACGCCTAGAAGCCGCAAAAGGAGTGCTAAAATCACAAAATTTTTGGGATCGATGTTTTGTACCGTTTTCAGCTTCCTGTAAGCAAAAAAGTCCATTGATGCCGCTTTTGAGAGTAGTATATCTTCAAGGTAATCAGGAAACGAGCCCAGATCAATGTGGAAAACTCGAGCGAGTCGGAGGAATAGGGATAAGGTGTACGGTAGGATCAGCTGGGCGTAGGGAAACTTGAGGGCGTAAGGGAAATATCGGCCGTTGAATGAGAGGGCGATGAAGCGGCTGAAGCGTAGTAAAATTAAAGCTATGATTAGGCTTAGGCTTAAGGTTAGGCTTACTTAAGGTTTCGGCTTAGGCTTAGGCTTGGGCATAGGAATAGGCTTAGGTTTAGTTTAGCCTAGGCCTGGGCTACCTCTCGCTCTCTCGCTCTCTCTCGCTCTCTCTCCCTTTGTCTCTCTCACCCCAACGACACAAAATATTGTGCCAGACGGATCCCAGTGGATAGCGTCATCAGATTCTCCCACAGCGTTGACCCGAAGAAGAGTACTTGCACAAAAATCGGGATCAACGAGGTCAGACCGGTGGCCGTGCAGAAGTTGACCAAAACACTAAAACAGGACATTAAGATTAGGTCTAAAAATACAATAGTTATTAAAAAATTGTGTATGATATAATATTTATGGAAATTTCTCACATTCCGCCAAACAAAAACATCTGGCTCAACGACATCATGAAGCGGCCGAACGCCTCGGAGATGAGGAGAAGCCTGAAAATCAGACTAATCAGATTTTGCACTCAAAAATATTGAAAATACTGTTTTAGGAGTGTTGTGAAGTAAAATTCGGACTGTTTACATCCTAAGGTCCCTCAAAAATCCAAAATGACTTACCGAACGGGCCATACAATTTTACGATTTATCGCCGTTAAATATATGGCTATCGGATTTGTTATAATCGATATAAATTGGATCTAAACTTAACGTACGCTATAAGCCCATTGACGTTACCATGACGGTCGTATTGTTATATAGAAAATTGACCCAAAAGGTCTGTGTCCGATCATCCAGGTAAACATTGCTGACGACGGGTAATTTTAACTTTGCGATATTTGAGATCACGAAGAAGGCGGCTAAAGGAATGTGACGTAGTTCCGGAGATACCTTACCAAATATCACCAAAGTCAACGATAAAACCTCATAGATTTCAGCGTATTTTCGCTGGCTGATCCGCATGTTTTCGCGGTAAATGTGAAGAATTTGGGGGGAGCAACATCGGTTGCCGCTCAAATTTGCTCTCACGGGTGTTTAGGTTGGTTGCCAGGAAAGTTACCTCGTGTTGGTGAAGGAGAAAAGAGCGCACTTTATATTTTGTGGCTCTTCGCTTCCTGGTATCATGTGGTACACGTTTTTTTGATGGATTAAGCACTAATGGGAACGAGGAAACGGAAGTTGGGGTTGGAAAATTTGTGCTAACTCAAAGGGCTTTAGAAGCAGGATCTTGTGCATTATTGGGGGTACGTCCGAACACAGCCTGAGACGGTTTTATCTAGCTCGAAAATCGACGCGCCAAGCCCAGCTCGGGGGCTTCACTTCAACTCAACATTCGCAAGCCGAATTCTCACCAAACTTCCGTTAAAATCCGAAAGCGTGATTTTTCGGCACGGTCTGCACCTTGCTGGGATTCAGGAACTGTTTCTTGGTGTGCCAGGCGCTTGAAGTAATTCGTTAATTCAATTTTTCACCAGGTATCCCGTGGCCTTGAAAGTAGAATTTCTCACTTGCAAATTTCTTCTTAAAAATCCCACGCAAATCCAGGCCAATTAATGAGGATTTTTTGAGGGAAAAGCACAGTTCAGTGGGAGAGTGAGAGGGGAGCAAAGTTGTCTTTAAAACCTAGACTAAAAATGGTTAACTTGGGCTTAGGCCTAGACTTCGGCTTAGGCTGATTTGGCCAAATCACGGAAATCTATCAATATTTATTCTCCGCCGGCGAAACATTCACTTCTTAAATCCTACAACTTCTTAAATCAGTGGAGCAACCATTGAAATCTGGCTAACCCAGATACCTAACCTATAAAACCTTACCGTCAACATTGTATGTGTATA